GGTTGCAACCTGTCCAGGAGTAGGCGGAGATAATGAGAAAACTTAGTTTCTTAAATCTGTTCCTCACCTTAATTTTACTCACTTTTCACTTACGCCTGTTACACTCCCTAATAGAGCATAGGCCATCGACCAGTATTCTCCAACCTATTCTGTCCTGGACTTCCCTTTCCAGTTCTGTTCAATATTTGTTCATTCTTCTCATGTCTCTCCACTTCTCAACGTAATGCGTTCTTTGACCTTGAGGGTTTTAAGCGAGGGCTTGTCTTGTGACCCAGATGGGTGCTTTCCAGTGTGGGTCCTATCCACTTCTAGCGATTCTTCCTCCACTGGAATCTGGTTTGCTTTCTCCCACAGTAGGTCGTTGTTGGTGTCTGGCCAACGAATATGAAGTATTTAGCGTAGACAACCGTTAATGAACACTTGTATCTTGTGGATGATGGCGTTAGTAGTTCTCCAAGTATCCACCCCACATAGTAAAACTGTATTGATATTTGTGACTTTGGTGTTGGTTGATAGTTGTTTTGTTCAGTTATAGAAATGCTTTCCTTGCTTTGCCGAACCGCGCCCTCAAATCTCCATCAGATCCATCTTGCTCGCCAATGATGGTGCTCAGATATGTAAAGGTTTTTACGTCCTCCAAGGCATCTCCATCAACAGCGATTTGGTTGGCACATGTATTGTATTGCAGAATGTTGCTTTTCTCTTTGTGTCTGTTGAGACCTGTTGTTGCTGATACACTGGTCGTCTTCTCTTGTATTTGTTGTTGCGTGTGAGATAGAAGAACCAGATCATCTGCGAAGTCCAGATCATCCAGCTCCATCTTGGCTTTCCCTGTATACCGTGCTTCCCTTAAGATGTTGATGTCTTCATAATCCAGTCGATCACTAAGAGAAAGGTAAAGGGTGAGGGTAAACAACCTTGCCTGACACTGGTCCTGACCACAAATGTGTCTATCAGCTGTCCTCTGTGCACGATTTTGCAGTTTAATCCATTTTAAGGAATCCGTATGGTGTTGACTATCCTCTCAGGGACGCCATAGTGTGTGTCCTGACCACCGTATCAAATCGGACCTATTGTTAAGGGTTGTCATGAAATCGTTGAGTTTGTCAGCATGCCGAGTAAGACCGTATTAAACTTCTGTGATGTGTGCCCATTGTCCAGTGCTTCGAGTTTCAGTTTCATTTTGACGACTAGCAAGTGATGATCTGAGGCTATATCAGCGCCTCTCTTGGTTCCCACATTCCCCATGGTCCTTTTCAAATTTTTATTGATACAGATTGTGTGTTGTGATGCGGTGAAATATATGCAGCTTTCTGTATGTGTTTGTGCGGGAATATTGAGCCGCCGATGACCAGTTTGTTGAAGGCACATAAGTTTGTGAATCTCTCACGATTTTCGTTCCTTTCTCCCAGTCTTCTTAATGCCCTGTTTCTTTATTTTGAAGGATGCTTCGATGATCCTTGGTCCATGAGATTCCCATAATAGGGTTCGTCACTAGGTACTCTTGAAGCTATTACGAGTTCACCTTAGTCGATAAACGCGAACGAGACAATTACCAGCGTCCAGATAGGCTACCTTGAATCCCAAGCTGAAGATGGAAGGCTTTGTAAGCGTAGAAAGTATATTCTACAAACACCCAGCAGTCACAATACAATCAAGCATACAACTCTCGTTTATTTATACATCATAGAAACGTCCTTGGGACAGTTACGAAAATAGCACACTAAAATACACAGCAGCCAATCACAGCCATGGATTTTCCTGGTGGGAAATGAAATCTCAAGGTCAACTGATCGACCCATGCTGCCAAACGCGAAGTCCAAAATAAGGCATTTAACAAGCGAGTTTCGGGGATCTAACATCCCCAACACCCATCCTATAAGTGCCTTTTGCGTTTGTCTTGACAGAATTAGTGCGACTCCTTGTGTGTGAGGCGTTTTCTTCCTCACGGCCGGAGTATAACAGCAGCTCTTCTGAAGATAGTTTCAGTTGTCCTGCCTGCGTCTAGTGAGTTTCACTGAATCCAAGCACCTCCAAGCTGCAGCAACTTGGAGTAGTCTTCCGGTCTCCCACAATGTTCGAACACTCCATGTACCTAAATAAATGGTTGCTCTGGTTGTGAGAAGGGGCATCATAACGTCATAACTTTTCTAAATGAAGACTTTCTAACTGCCAGAGCAGAGTTTGAACGGTTTGAATTATGTTTTCTGGTTAGCGTTTTTTATGGGATGGGGTCATCAACAACATGCCCGAACCCCCTTTATTCCAGGCTTGGGGTTCCAGGCGGAGTTTCTTCACATTGATAGGGCTTTCTAAAGTAACAGGACATAAAGCCTGGTAATGGAAATCCAATCGACCGGCGCCGCCTTAGCTCTGGGGTTGGAGCGACATCAGCGCCAGCAAAACAGGACACAGGCGCCCTGGTTAAACGCGCGCAAAAGAAGTTTTTCGAAGGTACAAGCGGAGAGCGGGTGTGTAGTACGTCACTAGTCTTCAATACAAGTCCCGGACAGACAATAGAGATTAATGTCCAAATTTGCATAGCGTGCGAATTTAGTAGGCCAGTTTAAATGATGTCCGTGGTTTTAGAAATTTCTATTTGGTAGTAGCGTTCAGCCTCAAGGAGATGCAGTTCGATGGTAGCTACTGACAAACAATAGGTTCTTATTCCATTCGTTCCATTAGGATCCTGGAGCTCATGTGCACCACTGGTTTAGAATGACGGTTTTCTAACTCCGCTAGATGTATCCTCCGTATCCATCAACCAAGTTAGACCTCTGAACATTCGCTTTTTGTCCTTTCAATTTCGTAAACAACACACATCGTGAGAAGAAAGTGAATAGGGCTTTCCCTGTTAGTGGCTCTATACGCATGGTCATATAAGAGCATCTGTCTCGAGAGAGAGAACGGGCTTTCGTTACTCTCAGTCGTAATATGGCATTTGGTGGTTATATATATGCGAACTTTTTAAAGCTGTGAAGTTTAAGTGTTCAAGTTAACGTATATTTCGATTCAGCCTATGTTAGTGTGACATAGACAGAATTAAAGCATGACTACGTTGCTGCGCGATGATTGGCTAACTTCCCATCCAATCAGCGCCTGATCGATTCTTAGAGGACAGGGTAGAAAATTCTCGTGTTGTTAGCCCCACGCTGATTGGCTAAATCTAATCCAGTCGATCACGTGAATTACAATCCAGAAGCTTCTCATGTAAATACTATGAAGAACTAACGTTGTTTCTTTTTTCGCCTTCGGCTTCTTATTCCATTTAACCTTGCTATTTGGAATATAATCTTTTCCTGTTCCGCCGTGTCTTTGATTCTTTGGGACTTGTCCAGTGTATTGTGGTCAGAGAATACTAAGCAATAGGATTTAGCTGGGAATCATCTAAGCGAGCGTTAAAACAGCTTACAGTCTAAATGACTGTGCACTGTACAGTACTTATTTATGTCTTTTTGTTTAAAAAATAGTGAAATACATCAGGTGAAACAAGATATATCATGGTTCTCGTATTCCTCTGATAATCATAATCCGTATGTTAGATACATCTGGTCATATAAAAACCAAAAAAGTGACTCGCTGATTTGAAAAATCGATATTTACTCAAGATAAATGTTGCAACCTGCTGTTGCCTTTTGGCGAAAATCGACCACATTAGGCTCCCTCGATGAGAACTGTTACAGAAAAATCAGTTGCATTCAAGCTTTAAATAGAAATATCCGTTACTGCGTGAGGCGATATCAGGATATTGTCTGTTAATGGAGGTCGATTTAAAAATATCAGGGGTCATTCATCATGTCAATACGGTATTTATGACAAGGGTCAGTAATACAATTCCCAGCGGCTATCGACTAGTACGTGTCAAAGTAGCGCCTAAGAAGTCGTTGTTGAGTATGTTCTGTCCACTTATCCATTCAACTGAATTGGTGTGAATACATTGCATTTTTAAAACCTCTTTCTCATATTTCATCCTTGACTCCCCTTGTCAAACTTGTAATTAATATATTTCTCGCTCTTCTTGATTAACTGATATTATTTTAGCGTTTTATTCTTCATTATATTTAATTTGTCCTGTGATTGATTTGCTTTTGCTTATGAAAGACGTAGACAATCATGATTTAGACATGAACATTTTAATCCACTTACCACATTTGTAACATTTTAAACGTTCTTGTTCTAGATTAATTTTGAATAAATATGAACTTAGTATATCAGTGAATTATTAGCGATCTGAATGTCGCCGAACTTATTTTACAGTAACCATAATAACAACTCGAAATTGCTTACATAAACATAGTTTTCTCTACATGAAACGCTGTACAGCTAACATTAAACAATTTAACATCTTAACATACTGCACCGAATGTGCTAGATAAAAATGGGTAATATATGATAGATAATTGTATTATTTTAGATTGCAACCTTGTTTAAAATTATCACCTAGGATTTAGCTAAATTGGATGACAACGCTTCAACCAGTTAAGTACGATACTACTACACAATTCGAACCACCGACTCAGCAATCAAATACACAACAGTGTAGATGCGCATTACTGTCAACAACAACAAATTAAACTGAAAAATTATTTATTGTTGTATGTGTTACTGATCACATTTAGAGACATGTAGGTATTTAAAGAAATTCTCAGACTGTCACTAAGGATCAGTCACCATAAATACAAATCTCAGAGATGGACATATCCACTTCCTTCGCGAGTTTTATGAACTACTCCTAGTCGAAAGTAGCATCCCTCAGCATATCATATGGGCATAAATCCTCTTGATGTGGATTTGAGGCTCATGTGAACGCTTTCCGTGTCTTTGAGTTCTGTGAAGTAGATAGGTGGATTGCAGAGTTTTTATTGCCGTTTTGACCAACATAAAAGGCCATTATTCCATGTAGGTTCATTAAACGTTTAATCATATTAATGTATAAAAACACTGAACTGAACTTTACCATATCATAAATGACTATCAACTCTTTTTATACCTTTTAATAGTTGAGAGATGAATTTTCAGACAGTCGTATCGGTCGTCGTGGAGCACTTATATGCCTATTTATTGCTTTCTCAATGGCTTTCAGCAGTTCGATAGCCGCATGTTGGATACTATTTGGAGCTTATGTCTCTGAAGGTAAAACACCAGTATGGCCAGGTGTAGCTATACTTCTACAAAATTTACTGATTTGTACATCGTCTCTTTTGTTCAAATTTGGCAGAAAAGATCTTACTGATTTCTAATCTTCTTACTTTGAGAATAATATTCTCACTCACTGACTCATTTTTCACGGTATAAAATGAACAATTATTCTGGTGAAAAAGCATTTCATTTCTTCTTCGACACATATATATATTTTTTATTTTCGACAAATAATGACTTCAAATAAACGTAAAATTTTTCGTTTGGTATATTTATCAATGTATCCCATTCTGTATTAGGATGTAATAAATTACTAGACAAATACCAAAATCATGAAATATATATATTGTACTCAATTAAACATTCAATATACACAACATTCAATAATAGTCCGTTTCATTTTTGGCGGGAAACACAAAAATGTTTCTAAAATTGAAATAAAAGTTTTAAATAAAAGCTAAATGATATTTAAGAATGCTCGTGTGTGTATATATTTTACCATTATATTATAAACGATTATTGACCTTGTGGTGGTGTTTCGTTCTCTAAGAACGTTCTTAGAGAACGAAACACCACCACAATCATCCAACAGAGCTACAAGTTTTCTCCACCATCTCAAAGATTATTGACCTACCTTGAATAGGATATCTTTTTCGGCCAAAAAACTGTTGCTCATTATCTTCTGCAGTGCACTGAAAGGAAAGGAAAGGATAAACAATTATATCAAAATGTACATGGATCATAGACTCAGTCAAGATGTTAGATTGTTAAAAAAAGTTTCACTGTTTAAGAACCCTATATTTTCTTAGCTTGTGAAAAATTTAATGTCTCATAAGAGTTACATGACTAGCCTTAGAACCGTTAGTAAAAAGGGGAGATAATCCATTTTCCATTCTTTGATACCAGTCAATCATTCCCGATTACACTGTCAATCACTTTAAAAGTAGAACTCCGTACGTATGGACACAAGTTCAAGTTGCCATACCACATTAGCGCAGAAATGCGATTGTCCGTTCAAATCCCATAATGGTCGAGATAGTAGAAGTATTAGCAGTAATAGAGAAAATTATGGTTCGAAGACATGATTCGAGAAGTATAATTCAGTGAGATAAGTTTAAAAGAAAGAAGCTAGAGGTGAAGAATTCGGAAGATTAGAATTTCATAGAACACAAAGTGTAAATGCACCTGCGCCATTGCAAACGGTTATTTACTTTCTATCAAATCATAAACTTAGAGCGTGTAGGAAGGATTTGGTTTTGACCAATTCGGTCTCATGTGATTTTACGGGTATAAGGGTGGATGTCACTTTCAGTCTACCCACACCATGGAAGCCGATTGCATAGGGTTTAAATAATCATGCTGAATACACAGATACGCATGTATTTGTTGAATAAGTTATTTATTTGAGTTTTTTGAATATAATATTGCAACCAATAACTTGATACATTTTACTGCGGGTATGCATTTGGAGGTAAAGTTCACGACAACATAAACATCTAAAAACCTTTGAAATTTGTCAAAAATGTAGGAGAGTGTAGAGTGGAACCAATTTATTTTAATTTTATGCAACAATTTTATCAACTTTTTTGATCAACAACACAAATTACAGTGGTTTTAGAACAGTTCATAATTAATACCGATTAGCTTAAATGATCAGGGGTAATGTTTTGCTATCCGACGATGTCGTTTGAATTCTATTCAAACTGAAGTGTATGAAGCACGATGTTCGAAATCATGGCGTATTGCCCAAAGGTCCCATGTTTTAACAACTAGGAACCATTAAGAAGTCGGCTTCTTTCATAATTTTTCAGCATTCAAAGAAAATACTGATTGGTACTTACTTTGCCAGTTATCCAATCATCCCATATAGATGACAGTCCTTGTTTCTGCTTCCTTAATAACTCATTAGTCGAGCGTATCAGTGTACGACCTTCTCCAAACATATTTGTATGCCAAAATTCCGTAAGTGAATCCATAACTTCGTCTACGAGAAGAGAATTAATTGAAAATGTATCTAAATCTGAGATTATATAAATTAGATAAAATCTGGTCATCATCATCATATTTTATTGAAGAGTAGAGGCCGTATAAAGTGAAGTCGTTTAGAAAAAAAAACTGGAGGAAGTAGCTGCGATAACAAATAAATGTGATTACAAAAAGTTGCCCCTTGTGACTAAATATCATTATGAACAGATAATGATAAAAACACTATATTTACAAAGTCTCAATGAGTCGGTAATTGAATTCCTGACGTTTCGCGATATAGTTGTAAGTAGCTTTTTCTCTCCAGAAAGTAACCTTTTTCTAAGTTAAGAAGTACTACAAGAAGCAAACAAATTAGATTGAATATTTAATGCATACAAACATATTTATTTATGCTAATGTCATTTTATTTAGTCAGTAAGTCGAACTTGCATTGGTTCAATTGATCACACCACATTAGCATTGCGAGATAAAACTATGAAGTCAAAATCCTGGAGTAGTAGAAATAGTAACAGTGTCGGTATCAGAAGAAAAGAGAATTCCAAGACTGAGAACCCAAGATAAGGTAGAGAGTGAATGCACCTGCGCCATTGAGAGCGATTGAGTTATAGCACTTAAAGTCTTTGACCATTTGGTTACGATGGTCACATGAATTCCCACCAGGTAGTCTACACCTATGTAAATGGCTCAGTCCAATTTTTGAGGGCGTTATCGGACAGTGCCATGTTTTATTTCAGATACCCCTGGCTTTATCGTAAACTACTACACCATACGTCACCGTTTGAGGTAACGGAATGGTTGGGTAAACATAACGAAAGTCCTAACTACCACAGTTGATAAAGATTCACAACCCCAACTCCATCTGCAGTTTGAGAATTTATTTTCGCAAACAACTGACCTTGTTCCTACCTCAGTGGAAGATGTAGCTAGATTTAAGACAACGTTGGTCGATAGCTGCCTACCGTATAAGAATAGTAAGCGTCCTACGAATCGCCTTTTCACAAAACTGCATCGTGAGGCCTTAACAAAACTGAAGAAAGATGAGACCTTGATCATAAGCAAACCAGACAAGGGGGGAGGTATCGTTCTTATGAATAAAACTGATTACATAAATAAAATGGAAGGAATGCTCGATGATCCTAGCAAGTTCCAAAAAGTCACCTGTAATAATGATATCAATAAAAAAGTAGAAAATCAATTGACAAACTCTATCAAGGAATTAAAGAAAAAAGGTATTATCACGCCTGAAATCCACGACTTAATTAAGCCTACTGGATCCTACACACCACGACTATATGATTTACCAAAAGTTCATAAATCGGGTCTTCCTCTACGCCCGGTTCTTGATATGTTTAATTCCCCGTACCATAAAATTGCGAAGTGGCTAGTGCGAATTTTAGAGCCATTGCATAAATCAGCTGTACGTAGGAGTGTAAAAGACGTTTTTGAGTTCACTTCCAAGATAGAAAATATGAATGTTAGCAGGAAAAATATGATCTCACTGGATGTAGTTTCTTTGTTTACCAACGTACCACTTCCTTGAGACCATTGAATTAATATACGAGCAAATTAAGGAGAAACAAATCAATATTGGCTTGCCCGAAGATTGCCTTAAAGAATTACTCCTAAGATGTACGATGAACGTCCATTTCGTATTCAACAACAATTATTACAGACAAATAGACGGTATAGCCATGGGTTCACCTCTTGGCCCGATTCTAGCTGATCTCTTTCTAGCAAAGCTAGAAAATGGACCACTAAATGAAACTATTCAGAAACTTGATCTATATTGCCGTTACGTCGATGACACATTCATCATTGTAGATCAGCACATCAGAAAAGAAAAACTTAGACGAATTCAACAGTGTACACCCGGCAATCAAGTTCACTGGTGAAGAAGAATACGATAAGAAACTGAGTTTCCTTGACATCACACTAAGTAGACGTAATGATGGTTCACTAAGTGGAAGCGTATATAGAAAAAATCCCAGTGCTTGCCAATACACTCACTTTTGTAGTTTTACATCTATCCGCTACAAAAGAAATTTGGTTAGATGCCTCACTAATAGAGCAAATATGATTTGTTCAGTGTATACCTTAAGTCAGGAGCTGGAATTCATCAACGACTCACTAACCGAGATTGGTTATCCCAGCGCATTCATAAAGAAGTATATGTCTGCCGCAAAAAAGAAGTAGGTGGTTTCGACTGCCCAAAAGAAGCCTTTATTTATAAAGTTACAATTCAACGGGGATGTGGCCTGCGATACTCTGCAGGACAGATTAATGAGAGCAATCAGTAGAACATTCAACGCTGCCAAACTTGCATGGACTTTCTCCAGTCGACCAGCGATATCTACCCAAACGAAGGATAAGTTACCTGAGTTGGCCTCCTCTATGTGCATTTACAAATTCAGCTGCTCCTGTGGAGATAGCTATATCGGGCGTACTTCCAGGCAACTTACACAACGAATGAGTGAACATCTCCCAGCATGGTTTACAAAGGGTCAGTCAAAAACTATACGCAGTTCTATCTTAGCACACCTGGTAGATGGTGGTCACATTGTAGATAAATATAGATCTTTTCGGATGATCTATCGTATACCTCCATCATTTCCCAACGGAGTTAGATCCCGTCTCCTACACATTGCAGAAGCCATAGGAATACGCACATTCAACCCTAATTTATGTGTTCAGAAGAAATTCGTGACACCCCTATCTCTTCCGTGGCCGGATATGACGAAACTAACGATTAACATTTTATATATTTTATTTATTTTAATTTTATTATTTTTACACATCTGCTTATTACGTAATGTTTTTGATGTTTTTTGATGATTATTTGAATTCTATTCATCCACCTTTGACCTACTTTAGTTATCATATTTTACAAATTTTCCTACTACTCTCGGTTCACCTATCTTCCTACTATCCACTTGCACTTTTGCCTTTTTCATTTCATTTTAGTGTTTATAGAAGGAGAAAAAACACTGAAACTGGAGAATATGATTCTGAAGGCTGGAATTAATTTACAAAATAATAAAGAATAACGTCATACTGAAACTGAAAATTTAGGGGAAAACATGAGCGAATCGATGCAATAACATTGCTTCGACTGATTTTGAGCTACAAATCACTTAACATGTCCAAACACACAAACCTCAACCGGACAGTCTAGACTTTTAACAGATTACGCTAACAATCATGCGCAACACGTGTCCCAGTCGCCTTAGTCGATAAAGTCTCACAACTTGACTATCACTCAATTAGTTAATACAGAGCAACTAAAAATATAAAGATGGATAATATTGAATGAAGTCTTACTGGCAAGTGATTGACCCGATTCGATTGATTGTGTTAATTCATGCAACAGACCAACTTCTTCATATTTACTACCTGGTTTTGAACTCCATTTCTTTGCATCTAGTTTTCGTTTAGCTTTTGTTGAACGCCTTTATTGGAAGAAAACCAAAATAATGGGCAATTATAACTAACTACAGCGAAAAATTTAATGAGACTCTTAACAATGGATGAAATATCTATTTGGATAGGGTAGTTGACTTTCTTTAGTCTTACCAAACTGACAAGATTAGGACATGAGTATTTCTGTACAATGTAGATCATTGTCTATTCAGATATAGAAAATAGGAAGGATGAAAGAAGTGAGCGTCTAAATGATTCAAGTAGTTGAAATTCGACTGGTAAATTATTGGTTCAAACTCCTCTCGGGTGTTAGCATTAACCACTTCTAATCATTTTATTTCTAAGCCTTTCTTTTCTGTATAGTTTCGTATGCTGACAATGTGATCCTAGATTGTAACATTAATTGTGTAAATATTTGATTTAGAAAAAAAATAAATTTCACAGTAATCATGATGTAATGTTAATTAACGAAGACTGTTTGATGATGAGAATGAATAATAGAGAAAACAAATAAGAAATACATTTGCCCAAGGAAATAATAATAATAATAATGCTAAAAAGTGAATTAAGAAATATTACTTGCCAAAAATGTGTTTGCAATTAGTAAAGTGTTGAAAATAGTTACATCAATCATATTTATTGGATGCATTTTAAGGTACCGTACCGAGGTGAATGATCTTGCAAAGACATGTTAGCTGCGAAATGACAGTTTGACTGTCCGTTTCAAACTGAGTCAGAACTGTTACAAAAAAGGTAAACTAAAACTCTAAGGTTTTTAATTGATTGATTGGTTGATAGTTTTGTGAATATATGGATCTGATACTTTGTTTGTCAAAACACCGAAAACAAACGAGCTCATTCAGTACAATGCACTAATATATTCAGGGGTTAAAGTCAAATCTACACTTACCCGGATTTTTTCGATGCTGATGTGCGTAAACTTATTCGACTCATTGAACTGGTTATACTTTCTCCAGACATACTACTCGTATCTGAATTGATATCGGATTCAGAGAAGTTATCATCTGAAACAGTGTATTAAGAAAAAAAACCCATAAATAATAATAGAAAATTTATTATTTACTAGAGCCCTTTTTATGAAGATAACTATTCTTCTTTACAAGTGATCAGTGAATGAGTGACCATCATCATGTTTATCTAGTCGTTTGTGGCTTGGGATCTGACTCCGATTTGTGGGAACAATTGAATAAGCTATGAAATAAATCATTCATCTAAATTGTGTATATGATTTTTATATAAACCTCATTTGTGTCACGGCGATAATTAAAAGCCCAATACGGTTTTGTGAATGGATTTATTTCAAACTTTTGCGTAAAAGTAGACATACAATAGAATGCGAAGTGAAGCTCAAACAACGAGTATGCCAACTCGATATGATAAGGTATGACTTAAGTATTGACAGTCAGACAAAAATGAGCTAAACAAACATGTGATAATACGTGCAGTAAGCAATGCACACACGCATTGAAGTACAAACAGTCAAAATGTTAAGCGAATAACTGACACACATTCAAAAGACGTGGAAACAGTAACTCAGGCAGAAAATATTAATTAGTTTGTCCCAAAGCTAGGACAAGCCATGTGGGCTCAACATATATATGTGTATAGCCAGTCACTGGTGTAGCTGACTCAATACAGCGTGTTCTATGCTCTAGTGTTAGGGTGATTGAATTTAGTCAACAGGATACCACGGGCATAAATTTTGTGGCAGTTAGCATCTATCAGTAAAAAGTAACTGAAATAGAAACCAATAATTGATGATCATAATTTGACATTATTAAAACTAATTTATCACTAAATCGTGATAGCTAAAATTATATAAGTCATATACAAGCTTCAAATAAATCCTACTCGACGCTCAAACTCTTTCAGGTCTTTTTAACTATTAAATATGTCAAAACCATAGTATCTTGTTTACCCATCACAGTGTTAACCTATTTTCTTTTTTATCAATGACGTTATTGTTAAAAAAATGCATAACCTGATAATGTGATAAATGCCGTAAATGTATGTACAGAGGAATACTCGATAGAATAACAAAGTTTAACAATGAAAAATGCAAGTTATATCTTGTTGATTGTACTTTAGCAGAGTTCAACTTTACATAATCAACAAACCATATATTATACAAATTAAGCAAGTAGGCATAATCAATTTAGTTTCGTTTCAACATTATGATTATTGTTCATGAAATAAGGTTAAAAGTATTGATAAATTAACCCAATTAACAACCATATGAGGATATATATATATATATATATATATATATATATATATATATATATATATATATATATATATAGGTCTCAACATACATAAAGGAAAAAGTAAAATTCTTCGATACAACACAACATGCACCAACCAAATCACGCTTGATGGAGATGCCTTGGAGGACGTTAACAACTTTACATATCTTGGCAGCATCATCGACAACCAAGGTGGATCTGATGCAGAAGTGAGGGCACCGATTGGCAAAGCAAGGGCTGCATTTCTACAATTGAAAAATATCTGGAACTCCAAACAACTTTCAAATAAAACCAAAATCAGGATTTTCAATACAAATGTCAACACAGTTCTACTGTATGGAGCGGAAACATGGAGAACTACGAAAGCCATCATCCAGAAGATACAAGTGTTTATTAACAGCTGTCTACGCAAAATACTTCAGATTCGTTGGCCAGACACCATCAGCAACAACTTACTGTGGGAGAGAACAAACCAGATTCCAGTGGATGAGGAAATCAGGAAGAAGCGGTGGAAGTGGATAGGACACACACTACGAAAGGCACCTAACTGCGTCACGAGACAAGCCCTCACATGGAACCCTCAAGGCAAAAGGAAAAGAGGAAGGCCAAAGAATACATTACGCCGAGAAATAGAGAAAGATATGAGAGGAATGAACAAACATTGGACAGAACTGGAGAGGGAAGCCCAGGACAGAGTTGGTTGGAGAAAACTGGTGCCGGCGACCTATGCTCCATTGGGGGTAACAGGCGTAAGTATATATATATATATATATATATATATATATATATATAGAAACATGTTCTGATTACAGAACTAAGGGTATATCCAAATGGTTGGTTTCAATTTCAAAGCATAAACTTTTATACACCATACAAATTCAATATTGATGACCTGAATAAAAATGAGTTATGATATGAACCATTTATGTATTTAATGTTTGTAATATAAGGATTACGAATGGAATTGTAACACATTTTCAATATACATATATATATTGATCAGTTTATTAATTCAATGGCTTTAGTGTCTGTAAATGTTGTTGGAAATGTTTTGTTTTACTGATGATAATCACTGAACACTCGTAACTTAATTTGTTAATATTTTCACGTACATGTAATTAAATATAAAAACTGTATTTTTTTTTAGCCTACAAAATAGATGTAACAAGAATGTTTCAGTTACATAAAACAATACAGTGAGTATACACACATAATATTGACTTGATTTAAACACTTCTATATTATTCACATACATTTGCATGTTTGTATTTTCTCATTGATATTTTCAGAGTGCAAATTGATCAGTCTTTTAGTATAAATCGGTCAATAATGTTAGTAGTTTATTATATACTAATAAGTTTTACGTTCGATAAGACTTATTGATCCTTGCTAATTTCATCTTATCATCTTTTTATAGTATTTCAACTCGTTTTTTAAACTTTTAACAGGGTTTTTTAAAATTTTTTGTAATCCTTAGAATGTCAGAAATAAATAGAAAAAACAACTTGATTTCGAATTAAAAAAGAAAAAGCCTTATAAAAAAAAGTTATTGAAGATGGATACAGCGTCAAGGATGCGGCATTTCTTACAGATATAAACTATCAGGCCGCTACAAATATTATAAGGTTGTATAAAAAGGAATCGCGAGTTGAGAAGAAAAAAACAGGAAAACCATCAAATAAGAAGATGTGCGGTGATATTATCAATTTTGTTGAAGAATTGATAGAATTTATAGCCGATATTAAACTTATATTGGTTCCACGCGTTGATGGAACTAGGGCACTTGCCGGTTTTCCTCTTGTAGATCTTCCCAAGGTTCCTGCTAACTACAAATTAAAATAAGATTCGCCTATAAAAGCTTTTATATACGTATCTTTAATGTTCATATAATTTTGAACATAAATTTGGCGTTTGTTTTTACTGGATTCCGAATTTATATTGACTGATGTATAAGGAATCTTTTTCAAAGTTATCTGAAGTCTATAAATTGTCCTTCTTATAGATTCAAGAGAAAGGCCCATTGGAAATATGTTTTCTATTTTTACTCGAATTTCTACCATCGTTATTAACCGGGTTTAATTCTATATCAATTCTTCAACAAAATTGATAATATCACCGCGTATCTTCTTATTTGATGGTTTTCCTGTTTTTTTCTTCTCAACTCGCGATTCCTTTTTATACAACCTTATAATATTTGTCGCGGCCTGATAGTTTACATCTGTAAGAAATGCCGCATCCTTGACGCTGTATCCGTCTTCAATAACTTTTTTTTTTATAAGGCTTTTTCTTTTTTAATTCGAAATCAAGTTGTTTTTTCTATTTATTTCTGACATTCTAAGGATTACGAAAAATTAAAAAAAACCCTGTTAAAAGTTTAAAAAATGAGTTGAAATACTATACTAAAATTAATGGTGAAAATGAATATCCTTTGTAAAATATTTCAAAACGGATAGGAAATATATTGAATTTCTGATGTTATGCTCTTTGATGTATGATATATTTTGTAGTTGTCTGTATTTAGAAAAATCAATTTCTTACCACCAACCCCCCATCCCCAAGATGATTCACAATGAAATGAAGTGGAAGTAAACCAAAGAAACAACAATCCTATAATACCTGTTTAAAAGTGACATCTAACGCCTGCATCAATAATAAGTCGAGACAAATTAACCTATTGTAGTAGACAAAAACATTATCTCTTTTCTAAACAACATCATGGAAAGAAATAATTTTCATTAGTTGAGGTCATTAGGATCCGTGTTACCAATGTTCAACCGACCGACTGCCTCGACGAACTATGTTTTGTGATGCAGGAGTAGGTTGGAATAAAGCTAAAGGAAGCCAAACCAAAACATGGCACAAATCCATGAAGTCACTGACAGGTGGATTGTGTCATGTTGACAAGTGTAGACTATCTGGTTTAGGTCCACAAGATTATAGTAACCGATGGTTAGAGACCTTGAATGACATGGACCGAAATGGTTTGGAATGACGCGAGTGAGTCCACTGTTTTCATCCTCTGAAACCCTTATCTTCTGAATTCCTCATCATCTCTATCTTTCTCTTTTTAAGTTAATTTCACTTGATTCTACTTCTTGAATAATATCTTGGAACCCTAACCTTCTTCATTACCGCTCATACTTCTATCTCTACTACTATGGGATTTGAAATGACGATTGCGTCTCTGTGCTAATGTGATATGGCAACTTGGACTAATGTACGTGCCTACGAGGTTCTACGTTGTAGCTAACTGAAACATCATAAGAAATAGAGCAAATTTCATTCGATAACAAACAATGCTCAATGAAACAATGCATAACCATTCAATTGAAAGTTCAAGAATGCTTTGCTGTCATGAAATACTACAGCAATAGCTAAAAGATTAAAAAAAGAACATTAGATAATTTCAAATTAGGAAGTGTCTCTGATTCAATCTAAGTTTACCTGTAAGTAATGCAAACACAAACTACTTTGAATTATTAATGAGAACTTCCATAACTATAATAAAGTATAAATTAATGCATGGAAGTGATGAAAATATTGGTAAGAGCAGTGGTTCCTTTAGGTAAAATACAACTAGAAAGAATGTTTCAGTTCAAAAAGTTTACATTGATAGGAGCGGGGGGGGGTGGAGAAACACAAGAGTTGACTAAATCAATATATGAGATTGTTTCATCAAGTTGTTGTTGGTTATTGGTGGAAGTCATAGGCATCATCCGGAAGTGTACATTTTGTAGATCGTATCAGTTAGGATGACATGACTACTCAAAACTAGCCGCTTTAAAGCTGACGTTTTAATATTTCACTTATTGTCTACCATTTTCATGCGTTGGGGTCCGCGAGATGATAATAATCGATGGTTAGAGACCTTGAATGACATGGCTCAAAATCGTTCGCAATGGCGCCGGTGCATTTATTCTTTGTGTTCTCTCAAATGCTAATCTTCTGGATTCTTCAACACCTCTAGTTTCGACTCTCTAAACTTTTCTCACTGAATCATACTTCTTGAATAATATCTTCTAATCCTAACCTCTTCGATTATTTCTAATTCCCTTACTACCTCTTCTACTATTGGATTTGAATTGACAATTAGGTATGGCAACATGAACTGATGTACTTACGTACGAAGTTCTACGTTGCATCTGACTGACTGACTGATTTTCATGCGTTTCCTACTACTGATCTATTTACATCTCTGATTTGTGTTGATGTAAAACGTCAAAATTTGAACAAAACCATATACATGTCAGACATATAAATTGTGCAATATTTTGAAGATTGAACAAAATATCCTCAACTAACTGATAGATAGTTTAATGGATAGAATAAACTATCATAAAATCGATATATTCAAAAACGAGACTTCTATAGTAAATCTAATTTATACAATGAAAACTTACCAAAATATTCTCTATCACCATGCATTTGAATAAATCGTTGTGTTTCTGCCTGTTCTTTATGTAATCGACGTAGAGTAATTAATCGATCGTATAGTTTATCATATGTATCAATGGATTTAGTCAATTGTTCATTCAACATAGAATAATGTTGCATTAGAGATGATTTAAGAATTTGATTTAAAAATTCCTGTTTATTATATAATAATGCCTATACATAAATAAAAACAGAATAAGAAACAAAAAAAATGACTATTCGGTTAAATATGAAGAAAAAAAAATATAACCAAAACTATTTATGTCTGATTGTTTATGAATAATGTTAAACTTTGAGCGAAACTTTTGCACGTGATAGATATAATTGAATTTGTTATAATGATTATTGATTAATTTGTATTCAACTTTAGATAACCATGAAGAATATTTCTAACATTGAGATAATGTTAGTGATTTTATCAACTCATTCAATCCTGAATGTTAATTGCTTCGAAAGTGAACAGTTTTATTCTACTGGTAAATTCTTGTTTATTGAGTAGAACTAGGATATTAGTAGATTTTTTGAATTATTCTCACAATACGTTTTTGTTAGTATACTTTTATAGGACTATATTTTAACCTTGTTAATTGTTCACCACCTATAACTTCGACTTTGCTAATATGAGTGCATGTCTTTGGCTTATTCTGACTACAAAACGGTGGGTTACGCCTGATCCCAACGGTAGCTGCTACCTTTACATGGTAGTAGGGCTTGCCTATCGTGATGACCCAACCGAGCTATATTGGCTGGAACATATGTTCCTGAAGGTTCTACCATGCCAGGCAGGTCGATTGCAGAACGATGAGACTAAAAGCAGCTACTCAAGGTCTGAGGGCGAAGTCGTACTGCTGACTGTAGAGGGGTGTGACAGCAGTAAGGTGTTTCCCTCGGACAACCAGCATCTGCAGCGATGCTGCCTTCTCACAAGGAAGGAAGGGTTAGAAAAGATCGACCCTAAAAATGTCACACCTCACCCTACCTCACGGATTTCCGTCTCCGGCGGTAAGGGTGCCCACTAAGGGCTTTTAAGAGCGGAGCTAATACTCAAAAAACCTTTCATAAAAAGGCCGTGTGTGACCGGCCTCAAGCAGTTGTCCCTTGGACTCTGCGGTCACGCTCCCAGGTCTCCAAGACCAACACTAATCTATCTTCCTTTTCAGGTCCCTCAAGAAACAACCTTCCACGGTGTGGGCAGCCGGGAAGTGACAACCGACCTCATACCCGTAACAGCACACGAGACCAAAGTGGTCAAAATCAAATCCTTCCTACCTGACGCCTGATCAAATTAAGTTGGCAAACTTACATCCGCTTCCGGTTTTAATGTTTACCTTAAGTAAACGAGTGCCTGGAATAATTTTGTTCAATGTAATTTTTTTATTGGACTTTTTATTACTGCCATCACCCAAGCGAGGTTAACCTATGTTGAGGGTATGAAAATCAAATCGAGAATCTATGCTTATTAACACTAGTAACTCAGTGCAATGAACATTGTACATGTGACATGAACAAAATACAAATAAATCCACATTATTACGAGTATGATATTCAAATTTATTAGAAAAAACATATAATCAATATCGAAAGTATTTACTACTTTCATCTTGTTTATAAAAATGAATTGCATCATTTTAATGATCAATATGATTTTTTTTAATTTTATTTTTTATTAATTAATGAATAATACAGACATTGATTAATTCTGTCACAAACAAACAACACAACACAATTTTTGTGTGCGCTCTACATGTTGGTCATGACAGTTAAAAATGAATCTTATAGTTATGTAGACTGAGAAGATAACTAAGTTAGTTGTTAGTATGAAATGGTTGATTTTATTTTACTTACAATAATGACTTTGTCTAAACTAGACGAAAATAAATGAGTATAGATGCGAAAATGCACTTCTAATTTATTTTTGTGTATATGAACTAGATCGATAAATTTAAGTTGGTTTATTTATGTGTAGGTAGCGGCCTTCCAGAGAATTTCAACGTGATTATGAAATGCACCCTTATTGGTATTGGTATTAATATTATTCAATCTAAATAGAAATGCACGTATTTACGTTTATTTGTTAAAAGTAGAGACAAATTTTTATAAACTTTAAATGATTATGTTTCCTGTTTACTAAACCTAATCAGAGAGTGGTTTTGCTGTGCATCAGTACGTCTTGTTTGAAGTTGTGAATTTCAACCTTTAACATTGAGGATAAGTGTACGTTAGTAGAATTCGATCATAATTGTATTCGAAGCATTGTTCTCAAGTCAGACGAACTGTACTAGGCGGGGAGGACAAGTATGTTGGTAAAATAGTGGATGTTAATCAACTGAGTTGGTTGCATTCTGCATTACTGATGCGTGACCACCGCTTACCTCAATGCATCATGATGGCTCGTGTAACGGTAGGTTAGAAGAAAGCTAGAAATGGCTAAAGCATGAAATCATTCACTATTAGACTGAGCTGTGTACATGGATTCAAATTAATTAGTTGAGGTTCGTGTGATTATTTTAACCAACGGTTAAAGACGTTATATATTGATCTTAATGAATGAGACACACTCATTCTGTGTCAAACTTTAGGTTTGGAGTTCTAAATTTGTCTTACATGAATTCAGTTTTCATTATCGAATAATATCATTTACGCGTAAACTACTGCTACTACTACTACTACAACCATTCATACTGTTACTATTTCTAAGATCCAAACATTCATCATGATAATCTTATTTAACGATGCTAATATGGTGTGGCAAATTGAACTGATTGCATATAGGTCTACTTGTGTTATAACACAATAAGTATTTCGTTATAAAAAAAATGTTATATAGTAAACCAGAAAAAAAAACATTACTAATCGATGAGCATCCATCCATAGGAAACTTTCACAAGCTGTTCTTATAGCCATTATTGGATCCTATGAATGAGGTAGGAAACAAGAAAAGAACAAAAAATGGGATATTTACATATAACAAAAAATTTCAAACAAACAAAATACTTTTTATTTAGAAATAGTTAAAAAAGTAAGTAATTAAGGATAAGTCAGTTATCAGAATCGAGAAAACTACTTAAGCTTTCCAGTGAGGAATTCAAAAATTAAACATATAATTTTTATCTGATAAAACACAGTAGAATTAACTATAGGCAGTCAGCTCTTAAACCGTTGTTTATGCCAATTATGAGTAAAAATCTCTTCTTTTAGTTGTACAAAAGAAATGTTTTCGCTTATCATGAATTTAATATCGATTCTACTATAATCTAATACTTGTTTTGAAGACAAAACGGTGGTAGTAGACAAAGCAAGATGTGCATCATGCTTCAAAATGTTTTATGAGATGATTTACTGAAAAAAAATTAAACTGTACATTAGAAAATCATTAGTTACAACATAGAACTTATCATATTGAGAGATATTTGAAAAAAAAATTCTAGTATCTTAAAGTGACCGTGTGGATTCTTATTGATAGTGTTGAACTGTTGAACGTCGGAAAATCTAAACACTAAGATACTGCTCACTATCTTTGATTACCTCAAATTAAAACAGATAATATCGAGTCAACTGCACTAATGACAACATTGCAAATCGATCGGTAAAACTCGATGAGAGATCATGTTCTCTGTTGCTCAGTGATCAGTGTTAACACCTCGATAGTGAGATCACAGATTGAAACTGAGCGACGCAAGAGTGAATTGCACAAGGAGCATCAGTTTCCTCAAGATGACAAGTGTGCCTCACTGATAAGTTCAAATCAGGCCTTGCTACCGACCACCGCTAGCACCCACCCTATCACAGTGAATAAGTGGCTGATTGACGTGTAGGATATGACACTACGAAAGGATATGTGATGTGAAATGTTGCAAGGTTTTAAGCATCGAAATGAAATAAGCAGATAACAGTAATCTCTGTGTCAATGAATAATTTGTGAACTGACGTAAACATCCATCATGAGTATTATTGGTCTATTGAATTGTGAAGTGTAGCATAAAAAGATATAAAAACAGAATTATTCACCAAAGTAAAACTTTCCTACCTCTAAAAAGTCAATATATATCTGAATAGCTTCCTGATGACGTCTAAGATCTTTCAATCGAGCTGTCAACAGAAAAAGAAGTTTATAAAGATTAAATCATGACCAACTATGATAAATGAGAATGGAATAAATTTACAATGTTACTTTGAAAATATACATTAATAACAAATTTATTTTTATGAGAAAACAGAATTATTATTAAAAATGTACTTTACGTATTTGTGTACTATTTGGTTGCACATTACAAACAGCTATATAGATGAACAGAAACAAATAGAAACACTTGTCTCATTTAATGCCATGTGTTTGGTTATTGTGAATTTACATTGGAAATCATGCAAAACTGTACCAAAACATGCATTTTATGGGCATTTGAGTTGTAAATACGCAAAAATATATACATGAAAAGTTAGAGAAGAGTAATTAGCTTCCATTTATATTCATCCAAAAGGAGTAAGACCAGCTAATCTTTATCGAGTAAGCTGAGAGAAAGTTTAGCCAGGGCAAAACAAGACATGGCATCAGATCATACAAACATTGTCTATTGGACTGAGCTATTTAGATAGGTGCAAACTATCTGATTGAGGTTCACGTGATTATCGTAACCAGTGGTTAGGGACTCTAAATGACACGGCTTAAAATCGTTCGCAATTGTGCAAGTGCATTTACTTTTTCTTTCGCTTAGATCCCAAGTTTATAAATTCCGTATGACATTTTCCCCTTTTACTAACTGATATCTTCTCGAAATGTATCTTAAATGCCTAATCTTTTACATTACGTCTGATATTGTTTCTACCTCTACTACTCTAAGATTCGCCCACACAATTTAATCTCGCTGTGCTAACGCAGTACAGCAACTTGAACTGATGCATAGGTGTGCCAGGATCCACGTTGCATTTGACAGACCGAATACGACCAATGACTGCTATTTTCATTGCCGAATATATTTGATGCATGAATTCTATGGTTACGATAACTCGTTTCTCCAAAATTAGAGGAATAAAATACACCAATCATTGTGGTTGAATTTTAAGAGTTTTTCAGTAATTTGATTTAGGATATTTCAAGAAAGCGTGTAAACACATGTGATTAATAAAAATGATTAGTTAATTCAATAAATGTAGAACAAGCAAATTCATTGCAATGAATACACTTTTGGAAAAATTGGTAAAGAGGGTTGAGAAAGTTTTTGTTATGGATCAAGTACGAGATCTCCCAGTTTTTTTTGACGAATACATTGTCATCAGACTAATAAGTTGATACTACCCGGTAGTTGATGTTTCGAACTCCAATATCATTAAATACAACCAGTGAATAATTATATAATTCAGAATATAGGTAAGCACCACAAACATATATATATTAAACACTGGGCAGTTATGATTATGAATACTTATATATAAAAAGTACAAAAGACTAATGGACTAGACGAGGATGATATATTTTCTTTTATTAGCTAATTGATTATTCAGTACGTCACGTGAAGGCTACGATCATAATGTGACTTGCATCAAAATGAAAACCATGTGTGTGAGAAAGTTATGAATTATTATTCATAGTATAATAATATGGTAAAGTTTGATAAGCTTCAATTGAATTAATAATGATAGTTATAACGACAGTGTACAGCACTTGGTGTTAACAACAGAAATTCAAGTCAGCGGTTCATTTCAATATGAGAAAATAATTTGAAAAGATTGTACGATGTTTAATATATTAACATCGATAAGATTAATTCATCCACACTTAAACTACTCCAAAAAATGGAAACATGTAGAATTATCTATTTTGAATTCAATGCCGATAAGAACATAGATTCATGCACGTTTTATATCATTGTGGAGTTGTTGATTATCGATCTGAATAATGAGATTTAGATGAGTGATTCACTAACACTTACTTAACTTAAGTGGAATTGCTGATTTCTTAAACCAAACAAACACGTGAGACTGGGATGTAAAGATGAGTAAGGGAAATGTAATTTGTAAATATCAGTTAGTCTTAATTAAGAAAATTTTGCACAAATGTAAACTAGTCCAAATTATTATATCATATCAGCACAAAAGAGATAAATTTAACAAGATGGATGATAAAAGAATTATAATAATATAACAACAATGACAACGAAAATGAGTGAACATTGAAAATATGATTCAAGTATAAAGAACAAGGAATGATGTATGTAAAGAAATACTAGAGCTCACGATCTAGGTAAATATACAGAACCAACATATATAAGCCACTATGATCAATTCTGAGTTAAGTTACTTGACGTCCCCAATTAATGTTCGCGTTTCTTGTGAGGACTCCAACCAAGTGATATGAAGCTATTTACACAACTTAGTCTATCAGACAATGATCACATGAATTGATACTACGTTTAAGCTTCCTTCCAACCTGCTCTAACACCAATATTGAAATAGGCTGTGGATAGGGTTACGTAATACATGTATCAACCGCTTAGGTCAATCAGGATTCACATCATAACCAACCAACTTGTAATTTGACAAACGATTTACTCTGAGTTCGAGAAAAAGAAGGGTATGCAATAAATTATAACAAGTAATAGTAAATCACCTGCCAACCTTTGTGCTTGAGTACGTATCTCTGTGTTACTTAAATAGTTATCATTAGATAAATCAGTATTAGTTTTATCATTCAATTGTCGACTGTTAGCAGCTGCAATACACCATAATTGTGTATTAGTTGCAGATAAAAATGCTTTTGCAGCTAAACCATAAAATCCACCTTTCATGTAAATTTGACCAGCATAAACTAAATTTTGCGAAGAAATTAAATAATCCGCCCACAATTGGCAAATAATCTAGATTGAATATTGAAAAAAAAACAGACAAAAAATATCAATTAAATTAGATTTATGAAATAAAAATATCAAAACTCGAAAATAAAACAAACGATCTCGAACAGGCCAATGATGATCTATGGATTAAATTTATCAATTTAAAACTTCATCGCCGATTTTACTTGACATGGAAAAATTAGGACGAAGATAGTAAGATGAAGTTGTTAAAATCTGTAGGTTTAGTTTATATGTCAGCAATTCTGCATTATGATGAGACTACTGTTTGAAGAATCTTAATAATTGTTTAACTAAGGTTAATCGAAACTCCACTTGGAGCTCTTCAATGGTTAGTGCCAGTCGAAAGCTCGGATAAAGCAGGAGGGGTGGGCATGGAGTTAGCGATCCCAAAACATAAAAATCTAACTCGCTATAAACAACGCCTGCCAGAAGAAATAATTCACTAGGTGGCGGCCTAAGCTCCATTAGGTGTAACAATCATAAGTAAGTAAGGTTAATCGGTATTGTGAATGATAAAATTTTTATGATTAATGTATACATGTATGTAAAACAAAGTAATTACGATTGTACGTAGAAGCTGTTACAACTATGGAAAAAGGACATTGAATCATTAACTCTTGAATATCACGATGTATTCTCCTCTTTTATTAAACTCAATGTGAACAGTTATGAATGCGGATTTGACTGGAAAAATAATGGATTGCATAATTTGTAAAAGTATGCCATTCATACTACGTGAAACTCAATACTCATACAAAAATAGATTGAGTAGATTAGTCAGAGAGAAAAGTGAAAACCAACTACAACGTCTACGTTAACTAAAGGAGAAACAGGTTGAGAAAGAGCGTTCGTCAGATCTACAGACTCATATCCCTTGGAATACACTCTGAACGAAATTAAAACTTACAAATTAGTGGTCACTGACTTTCAAAACGTTGGTCAACTTCATGTAGATATGCACTGTACAAAGTTGATGGTATTGAAAAAATAAATGAAGCAAATGCGAAACTTATAGAACAAATGGAGTAGGGAAACGAAAGAAGGCAGAAATAAATATCAGGCAAACAAAAGCAGAGAAAGACAAGGCACAAGCTGAATACACAAAAACAAACAAGCAAATGAAGATGAGCATCAGAGCTGACAAACATAAATATGTGGAAGATCTGGCCATGATAGCAGAAAAAGATGCATGAGAAAGAAACCTGATAATACTATATGATACACCGAAAAAGCTTGCTAGAAAATATACTAAACGACAAGGAGTAGTGAAAAATGAGTAAAGCAAATCAATCAATAACATTGAAGAACAGTGAAACAGGTGGGTAGAGCGCTTTGAAGAACTCTTGAATCGACCAGCCCCAATGAACCAACCAAACATCGAAACAGCACCCACTGATCACACAACTGATGATGATTCACCAACAACTGGAGGGATCAGCATGGATATCAGATAAAACAAGAGGAGAACCAGACAACATACCAGCTGAGGCACCGAGAGCAGACATAGCAGTAACTACAAAGATGTCCCACGCTCCCTTCAACAGGATTTAGGAGTAAGAACAAGTACAAACAACTGGAAAGGACACCTCATCAAAATACCAAAGAAAGGCGATCTCAGCAAGTGTGAAAATTAGAGGCATCACTAAACTTTCATTACCAGGAAAATTCTTCAACCGTATTCTTGAGCAGAATCAAAAGATTAGGTGGATGCTCAACTTTCAGATCAACAGGTTGGATTCTGTAAGGATCGATCATATACTGACCAAATAGCGATCACTGTAGAACAATCAACTGAATGAAATTCATCAATCTAAATCAACTTCGTTGAATATGAGAAAGTGTTTGACAGCATGGACAGGATAAAATAATGGATGCTTATTCGACACTATAGTAAGTCTGGGAAGACGGTAAAAATCATACGGAATTCTTACGATGTATTAAAATGAAAAATCGTGAACGGCGGACAGCTCGTTCGAGGTGAAGACCGGTGTCAGGCAAGGTTGCTTACTCTTACCCTTTGTTTTTCTTTTGGTGGTCGACTGGATTATGAAAACGCAAAAATCTGAGGGAGGGACATGTAATACAGTGAACAGCTAGGACAGAGCTAGACGATTTGCACTTCACAGATGATCTATCCCTTCTGTCCCACACAATAAATGCAGATGAAGATGGTAAGTGTAGCAGCAGCAGGTCTCAATATGCACAAAGGGTAAAACAACATTCTCCAGTACAATACAACATGTGCCAGCCAAATTACTCTTGACGGTGAAGCTTTGGAATATGTAATAAACCTTTACATACTAGGGCAGCAAAATTGATGAGCACGGTGAATGTGATGCAGATGTGAAGGCGCGGATCGGCAAAGCAAGGACAGCATATCTGTAATTGAAGAACGTCTGGAACTGAGAACAGCTATCAACCAACACCAAAGTCACAATTTTCAATACTAACGTCAAGTCATTTCTATTGCATGGAGCATAAACTTGAAGAAGTACGAAAGCCATCACACAGAAAATACAAGTGTTTGTTAACAATTGTTGATGTAAGATACTGTGGATCCGCTGGACAGAAACTATTAGCAACAGCCTACTGTGGGAGAGGACAAACCAGATTCCAGCTGAGTAAGAAATTAGGAAATGGAGCTGGAGGTTGATAGAACACACATTGAGGAAAGCACCCAACTGCGTCACAATGCAAGCCCTAACTTGGAATCTTCAAGGCCAAAAGAAGAGAGGTAGACCAAGGAACACAATGAACCGAGAATTGGAAGTAGACATAAAAAGAATGAATAACGATTGGGTCGAATTGGAAAGGAAAGCCCAAGATAGAGTAAGTTGGAGAATCCCCGTCGTCAGCCTATGCTCTATTCGAGGTAACAGCTGTAAGTAAGTACAATTCAGGGCGGATGCAATAAAATATATTATAATTTCTATTTACTCAAGGTAACAGTAGAGATAAGGTCGATCTTGAGTTCTTAATACAAACTGCTTCAGGATGTTTAATAACTAGGAAACCAGAAAGCACTGGAAAACCTGTCTCGTCTTATTTTTAAATCATTTAGCAGTGATACACAAACACAATTCTATCAGCGGTAGAACACAAACTTATCAGGTCTTAAGGAGAATGCAATACGTGTAAAATGAATTCAAAATCTCATTCATTAGATTATTGATTATAGAGTTAATATGTTCTTTACTTAAAATTCACTTTCAGTCATTTAACTATTTATTTTTAAAATCATTTGAAAGAAACACAATCATGTTTTTTATGGAAAAAGAATGCCTTTTCTCACGTGCATATTGACAAGCGATAGAACACAAAACAAATGACTATTAAATTCAAAAGTATAAACTGTTATTTTCTCGAAAAAAACTATCTAATGCATATGTTACACTCATTTGAATATAAAGCAATTCAATAATTAACATTGAACCATGAACCTTGATAAAAACTTATAATTTATAATTATATAAAATCAAAATGCAACATTTTTTGTGTGTCATATTTTGTTTTACTTTGTAAATTATTGATCATTGAAACAATAGTTTACAAATAAATTTATGAAACATGGAAAAACATCGACATGTACATAGATTTGTATAAACAGATAAATTTATCTGTTTAAATAGTAAAAAAGGAAATTAAGCGGAATAAATTTCTTTGTTAAAATATCATCATAATCATACGAATAAGGCCAAAAAATAAGTCAACGTCATTGTGGATTTTGTGGTTATTTTGTACGAAAATTCAAAAAGTTTATTTGTATATGGAAGTAGGTGAGAAATAACACATCTAATTTGTGACATGGAGTAGTTAAGTTAAAAATAATAATAAGTGCGTAGATAATGTATTGATTGATTGAAATGTGATTATTTAGGTAAACAGTGCCAAGTGAATGGAATAGTCAGACATTGTATTCTGTTGAGAATATAGGGATTTCGCAGTGGATGAAATGTTTCGGTTACTCGCCTATATTTGCAGTTGGAAAAATCCTTTCTTAAAACAACATGTTTAAAACCTATTGATATTTTGATTGTACACATTTTAGAAACCATGAATCGATCAATTTTAGACCACCATTAGATACGTGGAAGCACTGGACGATCGTTTCTTCCTGGTAAGAGACTCTTCAGCAGTAGTCAAAAGAAAATATTCCACTTTGTTTCCTTTTCTCAATTCGGAAATATGTTACTTAACTGCGGTTATTTATTTACTTATTTACTACGAAGAATGGACTTGTCTTAAGTCACAAAATGTTAAAAATACAAATTTCTAATTATCCGGATATGACGATAAAATTATAATTATTTTGTTATTATTAACTTTTCATCTACTGCTCAATCGATTTAAAACTATCAAGTAAAACCTTGATGTTGATACCCAAATAGGTAATTGTTTGATTATGATTGACATCACCAAAATTGACAACTTTTCGTCTAGGTTTCAAGGTTTCCATGTTTATCAGTAACATTTTCTTGCAACCCAGTACATTTGCTTAAGATGCTAAAGTAATATCCACGACTACTGCACCTCACAGGATTCGAACCCAGGAGTCGTGGACGCGCACTGCAGATGAGTTTCATACCAGGAGGAAACGGCCGTCTAGTGCTTTCAGGTTGTCTAAAATTGATCAATTCATGATTTTAAATGTGTGACTTAACAATCTTCAAAACCCCGTAATGAAAGTAATGTCCACATAGCTACAAAGTTCACATAACATCTAGATTTTTAATGCGTGAGGAAAGCATTTTCAAATTTGACATTTACTTACTAATTATATGATTTGTAAGTTATTAGTTTGTATGGAAAAATAAGAAATTAAAAAAAACCTTCAGACATTTATGAAACAAGCCAATATTTACAGTTGAAGTATCAACTTTCAGTCATTGTAACAAATTTATGTACATGAGGATTGTTAAAAATTACATTTTATACATTGGAAAACCCAAAAGTGGTTTACAACACCAACATTTATTTTAGAAATTTGTTTTTGTTTTTATTATGATTAACACAACTAGTTACTGGGCTCAAGTTTTAAACAATCAAAATTGTATATTAGAGTTCAGTTGGATAAGTGTCTTTTTTAAAATTATTATTAAATAACAATTGAGTTTTATGATAATTGGGGATGTGAGAAGACATATTATTTGACAGAAAATAGAAAGAACAAAATAATGAGCAGACATAATCTAGTATATAGTTTTGTTATATGCAAATGTTCAATGCAAATTACACAAAATAGAAGGTATGAATTCGTAAATAAACGGTCATCGATAAGCAGGAGTAGGTTGGAAGAAAGCTAGGGGGAGGGGAAACCAAAACATGGCACAAATCCATGAAATCACTAACATTTGGACTGAGTCAAGTTGGTAGATGCAGACTACCTGGTTGGGGTCCGCGAGACGTAAGTCACCATTGGTTAGAGACCTTGAACGACATGGCTCAAAATCGTTTGCAATGGCGCATTCATTCTTTGTGCTCTCTAACCTCCTGAATTCCTCATCACCTTCATCCTTTTCTCACTAAACTCCAGGTCTTGAATAATATCGTCGAACCTTAATCTTTCCGACTACTGCTAATACTTCTTACTACCTCTACTATTATGCGACTTAAATAGCAATCGCATCTCTGTGCCAATGTGTTATGACAACCTGAACTGATGTACGTGCGTATGCAGTACTAAATTGTAACTAACTGACTGAGGTTTTTAATAAATGCCCAACAAAAATGATCCTATCATATAACCTATGAAAATTTTATTCGTTCAATCGTTTCTTCCATTTGTTAACATATTTCATCATTAAATAAATGATAAGTAATGATAACTGTTAAAACATAAGACTAAAACGCAAGACATATTAACATATCCATAAAAAAATACCTTGAATTCTTCAGAATTTTGTGGTAACACTTCAGTCACTTGTGAGTACAAATGATGTGCTTTCACGTAAGATAACAATTCAGCTTTGTGTTGACAACCTAGAATATATAGTTTCAGACGAAAAAAAAAGAGCAATAAGAAAAGCTTTGAATATTTTTGTTTGCTTTACTTATTATTAAAGGACTTGTAGGAAAAAATACCAATTTTTGTAGCAAATTTATTGGAGAAACAAGCTTTTAAATAAACGTTATGAGTTCGTGTGTAAATGACTATACTGCCATACTTGTAGATTCCAAACCCGGACGAAAGAAATATTAGGCATGTTTGAAGATAGAACAATTTTCATTCACTAACGAAATTATTTAATAATCAACTTTTAGGTGTGTGCGAGCGTTAGTGATATTGCGACACAGACGTCCCAAACAGAAGAAAATTGAACCGAGTTCAAACAAAGAACTTGATAATTGAAAGTTTAGATTAAACTAAAAAGACTACTCATAGATTAGTCAGTAATATAAAAATCACAAAATATATACTCCTGGAAATTCTACAATAACCAAATCATCAAGCATTAGGTAAACAAGTCATTACAGGTATTTTGCCAATCTATCACTTTCTTCAGCTAAACAAGAGGAGATTTGTTTCACAACAAGGAATTCGAAGAATAAATAATATCTATATTATTTGTGTGCCAGATGATGTTTTTACAGCAAGGATCAACGGTTGTTTATCTTTAGCACTAAATACATACAAGACAGTGTTGACTAACCTTTGTTTCATTGCATAAAATATTGTACAGATGTTAGACTTAATGGAGAATAAGCAATTCGTTTTAAATGAATAAATTTCGATGTACTCGAGCACAATATACCCATAGTAAAAGCTTATCAAGCGCTAAACAGTTGCCGATTACATTTCGTATAATTTTGCACGATTGTAGGTCGTACTCTTTTCATTTAAAGGCTTGTGTAAATGATGCAGTAAATAAAGAGTACTAGTGAAATAATTTAACAGTCAATCATATACAGTCACACTTAAGATAGACAACTCTTCAACTTACCAGATTCGATCAAATGTAAAACAGCTTTTGAATATTTTTTCAAACTATGATCAATTTTAAATCGTTGATAAGCCGAAGCTTCTTCAATGGTATTACATTGAGATTTTTCCAAATCGTTTGTTAAAGAATTCAATTCATTTAATTCAGCTAAATATTCTTTTGGATCTAATTGTGTACGTTGTGCCATTGTCGTAGCGAAATTTAAATCATATGTGCCTAGAGCAACTTTATATAATTCAATTGGTGTAGCAAAATATTGTAAATGACGTAATCCACTATTCCAGGTATTGATATCTCCGTTTTCTAAAATAAGAAGTGGATTACCGCACTAATATATATTAACAACGATCACTGTATAAAATATACCATTTAAGTGATATGTATTTTTCTGTAGAACAATTTAGTTTAAGCGAAGGATTCTTTTTTTTAGATAAGCCAGCGCAACATTATAAATTTATATACAAATTGCATACCATAAACATATAGTAATATAATGAGATATAATCATCAAATTAATTACATAAAGAGTCCCCAACTGTATTGACGTTAAGATGAGCTTTCTTTAAGCTAATATTTTAGAAATGTAATTATATAATTAAAGTAAACAATTATAGTAAACTACACTGCCAAGTCAGTCAGAGTCGAATCCCATGTCTCAAGGTCTCATCCAAGCTAACATTTAAATTGTATATGCTGTTAACACAATAGTTACTAAAGATCAATGGATGAGAAATTCTAGTGAGGACACTATAGTTGAATATATCTAAAGTAGGTATTTTACACGGAGAGAAAATGAGGAGTTGACTGTGTAAGTAGATTCTATGAAACTGCAGTGGATTGTTGGATTTTGGATAGAAGTACTCAGAAGGGGAGTTTTCAAAAGGTGAGAAATCAGAAGTCATTTAACTTCATTATGTTAATCAGAAAGTGTGTCTATTAGGTAACACGATCCATACTGATGAATGAAGAGACTACACGTGTCATTAAAGATTAAAATATCCTTCGGTAGCATCTTATAGATCACATAGATGGAGGGAATGCGAGAACTCTTGATAAACTGTTTTCGCCCATAAAAGTTGGATAGAAAATTATCTGTACTGACATGGATGAACTTCTTCGCTACAAATCTTTTGATTTCAAAACAGAGAAGCCAATTATAAACTTGGAAAAATTTAATGATGCGAAAACTAGACATGCTTTTGGACATTTTCCGCTTTGTATTAAAGATAAGCTTTCAATCATACTTGTGATTGGGTCCAATTGACTTAAAGATGTCAAGATCGACAGTACAGTTTGGTTTAACTTACATCAAATACTTAAATACAAGTAAAATGCTACTTGTGAACAGATAAATGGAAGTCTAGATTTTTTTCGAATTATAAGGTAAAAATTATCGTATTTCTTGTACTTATTTCAAATTCAAGTCCCATGTCTAACAGCAGTCACTGACGTTAGGAGTTGATTCCGTGTTTGACTTAACCTCACTTGGCTTTCTTCAGCATACATCTACATTAACATATATCACGTATCGAGTTAGGTAATGGATTGTGATTATATGTCATATATATTCCAACCACCTTAATCGATTATGATTCAGTATCTCATCAAGCGATTTGCCATCCTTACATTGTACTCTGAGTTTAACTCTAGCATTGTTCATAAGATAGTTCAGTCATGCACCAGCAATACTGTGAAGATATCTATGATTGGATTCTGGTAATCTACAAATATTTTCTTCTTTTAAATATCGTTTTTTATAACTATAAAGTGGAACAGAATGTATAGTATACTCATCTTTCCTACATCACAGGTGAACCAAGCTGGCAAAATCTGACAGAGCTTCTTAAATCCATGCAGAGATATTGTCAGAATTGCTATTCACAATGAAACTCGAATTATTTACTTAACGTTTCCCAATATCTTTTTCAAAAGATATGATGTTTATATCATTAAAATTAGGTATTTTAGGTTGTCTTGCTGACATTTTGGGCGGGAATACATTACATTTAAGTCCTTATTATGAACATCAACAATGGAGCATAAGTATATCCATTTGATGAGTTACAAATAGGACGGAAAATGGGTCTTGGATGTTAATGGTAACCTTAATACATTTATTCTAAATAATAACATACACGGTGTTCATTCCACTTGACGTAATACTTATATTTGAAAGATCAATCGGTTGTAATTTAAAACCGACCTCTACAAATTACCATGTCCAGTATATAAATCATCTAAATAATGTTACTATGATTATATTCTCAATACTAGATTACTCCTCAATATGGACTAATTGAAAATTAGTGAATGTCGGAAGTGAAAAAGTGAAGAACTATAATTAAAAAAAACGGCATTTTGTTATCGATCCATTGAGATATTTAAATTTCAAACATTCTCGTCACAAGGTAAATGCTAAGATAAGGAGATAATATATCTCTGCTGTTTGTAAATAAATATCTAGTGCATTTTTATACATACGCCTGAGAATAAATAGACACATACGAGTTTATTGATCAAAATAAAACTAATTCCGTTTTGATTCTTCTTATGAATTCCATTGGTGTAAAGTTAGGAGATTATAGGCGGGGAGTGGGTTGGAACAAATTGAGCAATCATCCGTAGTAAATTACAATATTTATATAAATTAAGTAAGAGATTACAAAGCAATTCTGGATTAGTTTGATGCTTTGAGTAATTTAAACAATGCATTAGTACATAATATCAGTAATTTAAATAATCATAAACTTATTCATACCAATATTGGTGAAGTTGACATTTTGATGTTTTTAATGAATCTCAGTCAGTCAATGGGTTACAACGAAAAACTTCGTCCGTACGTACATCAGTTCAGGTTGACATACCGCATTAACACACAGACGCATTTGTTAGTTCAAATCACATATTGGTAGAGATAGTAGAAGTATTAGCAGTAATGAAAAAGATTAGGGTTCAGAGATATTATTCAAGAAGTATAATTCAATGCGATAACTTTAGAAAGAGAAAGATAGAGATGATGAGGAATTTACAAGATTAGAATTTGAGAGAACACAAAGAGTGGATGCACTTGAACCATTGCAAACGATTTTGAGCCATGTCGTTCAAGGTATTTAACCATCGATTATTATCATCTCGCGGACCCAAACCAGATAATCTACACTTCCCAACATGAAACAATCCAATTGTCGATGATTTCATGGATTTGTGCCTTGCTTTGATTTGACCGCCCCTAGCTTTCAGGCAACCTACTCCTACACCACAAAACATAGCTCGACGAGGCAGTCGGTGGTTAGGCATTCGTAAATCATGTCTCAACCACCTCAACTGATGGAGTTTCAATACCTCATCAATTGGTTTGCCATCCCTACCTAGTATTCATCTCCTAACTATAGCATTGCTTACTCGGTTGTCTCATGATACACGAGTAATGCTTCGGGGATACCTATGATCGAACACCAGCAACCTACGAATATCTTCTACTCTGACTAGCCATGTTTCGCAGCCATAAAGTAGGACGGAGCGAACTACTGCGCAGTACACTCGTCCTTTGTTTAGCAGATGGATATCTCGACTACGCCATAAGTGACGCAAGCTGGCAAAAGCTAATCGAGCTTTCTGTATCCTTTCTGAGATTTCGTCAGTCACCTGTCCATCGGCACTGATGAGAAGTGAAGCGGTCGACACACCCGACTACTTCACTCCCTATCACTAGTTCAGGTGCCGATGCAACTCAGTCTTGAAGCAACATTTTGCATTTCGAGGGGGAAAGCCGCATCCTGAACATGCTTGCATTCATGCTCAGGGTAGTCAGAAGACTGCATTTTGTCAGCATCTTCACCAAATAGAACTATGTCATCGGCATATTCTAAGTCAGCAAGCGTGTCTCATGGTAAAAGGTGCCTCTCCTGAAGAGTAAGACGATGATAATATTAACTCCAAAAGCATATCTATGACAAAGTTAAACGAGAATGAGGAGAGTCGACATCCCTGACAGACACCACTTGCAGCAACCAATTCCGATGACAGTTCTGCATAAGCTCTCACGCGAGCAATGGTGTTCGGGTAGAGGAGAAGGTTAATGCATTTTGGTACATCTTTTAATGAAAGACGTCCATAGATGATAACTTATTTACCAGATACATATATACACATACTTGACTTTGAGATAAATTCTTAGTGTCGGATCGAGTGAAACAAAAGTAGGTGGAGCGGGAACCATAAATGAAACTTATTGGCTACAAGTAAAAACTTTGTTCGATACCAACCAACTAAACTGTGAGCAACTGTCAGGAATTAAACCCGATCTGAAAACAGTCATGAAAAACTGATGAACAACTAACAATCATAATAATAATAATCAATTAGAAGTGATGGGGAAGATAAGCAGTTCCGAAGAAAATGAATTCGAAAGTGTTGGAATGTAACACAATTTATCAAGTAAAGATGTGTGTATTTTCAGCTTTTAACAGCATTGTCCGTGTGTATGCTGCTAGCGTAAGCCGAAATAGGTAAACCAGTGGTTCGGAAATTCGATGCTTCCCGTTGAAATGAAGTTAAACTATTAAAGTGCCATTATAGGTTTGAGATTTGAATGAATTATAAATATCATAAAGCCTCCGTTAACTTTACAGGAGGACATCATCCGAAGAATGGATGACACTATCCAAGACTGTCATAGTGAAAAAGTTGGTTACAGTAAACACTTATATCTACTTATATCAGTGCATTTCGACAAAATAGAGTAAACATGAATCTGGCCTAGAAAGTAGAAGATATCTTAGATACTGAAAACATAAAGAGTATCAGGGTAACACTTTGTCAGTCATTTAAAAAGGAACGAATAGTATACAATGGAAATGAAATATTCCACATAGTTAATGAATCTATATATGCATGATAATATCGATAATACTACTAACTACCTGTAACAACTATTTACGCCATAGATCAAAGTAACTACTACTGACTACCACAAATTGTTCAGAACTCAGTTCTTTTTAAATGGTTGCGCTAAATGATGGATTTTAACATCGATTGAAAAATTTTACTGTAGAAAAAAAATTTCACCCATTTGAATAAACACGATATACAAGTATTTGAAACATTGAATTGTCTTTCAACATTTTAACGAGTTTTTAAATAGAAACCCTAAACAATGGAGAGCTGTCAGAGATTTGTCGGCGAATGCTAATTTTTAGTTACCTATAATATCATGAAAGGTGCCGACTTAAGGTTTTAAACTATAAGCCTTTTCTTGAAATGAAAGGAAAACCACATATACACCTATGATTTGTGTACATCATAAATTCGTTTCCTGGCTAAACAATTTTTTACTCAATTCAGTCTTCATTTTTCTCATAGTGAGGGAAGTATTATACCGTACAAAGTGTATATGGTAACTAAGCTGACAGAACATAAAAATAAACGCAATGAATAATATTTACTAGGAAACATACTCTTATTGAATGACCAACTTTATGGGAAAAAGTTTTTAAGAATATATATAACGATATTATCACTCAATAATTGACTTACCGTGTAAACGTTTTAATCTTAACAATGCAGCTTCATAGTTTGGTGGAACTTTTTTTGCATAACAAGTTATTATTGGTACAATTAACCTATTTTGATAGAAAAAAGATATAAAGTGAGAGAAGGAAAGTATTGACGATAAATGTAGACTTATAAAATTATAGTATATTAAAGTGTTGATGGCCTTGAACAATCTTCTGGGAGCAGTCATCAGAAGTTAAAAGATATCTGGAAATACGTCAAATTTGTCTCCCCTTTTGAGTTTCAAGAGTAGAATTTCTGAGGGATAATTTGCTCACGAAACTCTAAACCAAAAATCTCAAATGATTCGATCTTAGTTGATGGATACATAGTCAGTTACAACGTAGAACTTTGTACGTAAGTAAATCAGTTCAGGTTGACATACCACGTTAGCACAGAGACGCAATTGTCAAATCAAATCCCATGATGGTAGAAACAGTAGAAGTATTAGCAGTAATGGAGGAGATTACGATGTGAAGATACTATTCAGGAAGTATAATTCAGTGAGATAAGTTTAGAAAGGCAAAGGTAGAGGTGTTGACGAATCTAGAAGATTAAGATTTGAGAGAACACAAAGAGTGGATGCACCTGCGCCATTGCAAACGATTTTGAGCCATGTCGTTCATGGTCTCTAACCATCGGTGACTTTCGTCTCGCTGACCCCAAATACGTAGCCTACATCTACAAACATGACTCAGTTCACTTGTCAGTGACTTCATGGATTTCTGCCATGTTTTGGTTTGGCCACCCTTAGCTTTCTTCCAGCCTAAACCTACACCACAAAACATAACTCGTCGAGGCAGTCGGTGGTTGGGCATACGTAACACATGTCTCAACCATCTCAATTGGTGAAGTTTCAATACTTCATCTATTGATCTGCCATCCTTACCCAGTACTCGTTTCCTAATGGATAGATACATCGAAAATCTACCAAATAAATTCAAGAATGAAGATTGTTATTTACAAACTTAGATATTATAGCTCATCATATAATCAAAGATTAATTAAGGATGGAGGTCAAAATTATAAAACTAATCAATGACCATTCACTTTCAACCATAATATCAACTGTAAACACAATTCAACAAACACGTACGGGTTCCAATGGACGCTAAACTTTCAATCAAATCAATTATACAACCTAACAGACGCAGGCAAAATTTAGACTCATAAATATATATTTGAAATTAAAGGAGAAGAAAACAACCGATCCTCATAAAAGTTTTTATGTTTATGGAAATCAAAATAATAACGCGCCAGTGAATAATCATAAACCAGAAAAGAACTATACGCCTTAAAATCCGTGTAGGTTCCTCAGCACTTATGTCCGCATATACAGATCAAAGCTAAACTCAGTAAGGTGATATGATGGTATTCTATAAAAATAAATGAACTTCACAATTTCAACTGTAAATAACTGTATTTACAACTAAGTGAATCGAACCACCAACTAGGTTATGGGATTAAGCATTAGATATCTGCTATTTACTAATTAATACAAAAAAGAAACTAACATCCATTTCACTTACAGTTCTAAAGATAATGATGTTATCTTTGCCAAAACAGAAAAACTCTTTTACTTCAGGTAAATTCAAAGACATTATATTATTAAGTGTTTAAAAGTAGAGATAGATGATGATGGCAAACGTTTTTTGGTTTCAATTCTGTTTGTAATCATCACTTTTGGTGGAAATGTCTTTTTCACGTTTAAATTCTCTCAAAATTGCGTTTTCTTCATTTTTATCACAGTCAAAGACTCCTTTTTTTGTCTTCTAATTGTTTCTTGAACGCTTAATACTACTAGCAAACAAACATCCTAATACTGAATAAATGTCAGTTTAATAGAGGCAATCAACAAGGAGTGATCACTTGATAACCAAACAGTGCGAGCAGGTTTGGGTCACTAAAACTAGTGGCAATGTTACGATCTGATCGATAGAATTCGGTTAATATTACTAATTAGATAAAGATAATACTGATCATTACTCAGTGATGAATCAGTGTAAATGAGTAATAGATATTACTCAAGTCAGTCTCAGTTCGTGTATTAAATAACTACATTATTTCGGATTTAACTTTCATATTGGTTGTTAGAGGTTGGGAGAGAGGATATGAAGCATCCCATGTTTATTGTTCAAAATTGAAGTTAAGAGTAATTTCCTATATAGTGAGCTTAGGGCTTACTTAAGCTTATTGCATAAGTTGAAATGATAATTTTAGCGCTTTATTTAATATTTATATTGTTCCAACTTATTATACTGATCATAAATTGATCATTTTTTTTACGAAAATCAGAATTCCAAAGTATGGAGATAAATGAAAATTTTAAAAATAGACTTTTGTGAAGCCACACTCTATCACTATTGATTACGTGATATCAGTACACAAGTTGGCAGGAAAACAGAATTATAAACTATCAACTTGATCATTTTACGAAATTGACACTTTTGCGTAAACTAATCGACTTTGAGACGATGTACGGTTTACAACACATTTATATGCCTACACACACACACACACATAGACGTACAAGTCAACTTGTTTATATTCCACAAAAATTGAAATACTTACTTGGTAGAATTATACTTTTCCATTTCGTCAATGAGAATATCAGTTATTCGTTCAAGTTTAGAAACTGTAGAAGTTGATTGATGATGCTCAGAAGATTTAGAATAAAATTTATGATAAATTGTTTCTGTTACATCTTCATCACTGGAATTTTCAATCAAAAAAAAAAAAATTGAGAACAAAATAAAAATGAAATCATAACAATGTAAAGTAAAATAAACCAGAAACATTATCAGAATGATAGTCTGAAATGAGGACATTGTTGATCACGTGCAAAATCATATAAATTTTTAATGTATGAGAATATTGATGTTAGGCGTGGATGGCAAATTTTATTGATAAGGCAGATGATCTTCCTTGACTAAAGTGGTTCAACCACTAACTACCACGAAAAGTGATGTTGGCTGGTGTGGAAGTAAGTCGGAAAAAGGCTATGGGGGATCTGAGTGAAACATGGCAACAACCCATGACTGTTAGATTGAGTCATATTGGTCAGATATAGACTGACTGGTTGACATCCGCCTGATAACTATGATCAGCATTTGGGGACTTGAGGTAACATAACTCGGAACTGCTAACAGTAGCTGCATGTTTAGGACTTTTAAAGTTTGTTTTTAGAGTAAACAGAAATATGTCAACTTATTCGTGAATGAAGCCTGTTTGTGTCACTGGGAATCAATGTAATGTAGAAATTCAAATCTAATTGAAGATAAGTAGGTTTACCACTGATAAGTTGATATACTTCCGTTTACTCTGAAAACTAACTCTAAAAGTCGTAGAATTGACTCTGTAAGCGTTGGTCCTAATTCCCGTTACAAAATTCTGACTGTTGTTTCTTTGATGGGTGGTGATCTTCTTTATGTCCAATACGATAAAAGCGAAGACATTTGTGATTTGTGGACGGGAATAGTTCAACAAAATGCCATGCTCTATAAGGCCAAAACGGTGACGGTGGCTTATTTGGTTTATGTCACTCTGTGTCTGCCAAATATGTAGAATAGTTCTAAGGTCGTCCAACAAGATAAACATCGTGTTGCAGATCACACTCGTCGTGACTGTATTTTACAAAAACTAGATACAACTATCCGACATGGTTGGCCCTCATCTGTCACATATCATGAACTAAAGTAGTATTATCAACGACAGCGAGTGTATCACGTTTGCCGTCCTACAACAGTTTCGCATAGTGCATCCAGGCATTGGAAGAATAAAGGTTATCGCTTGAAGTTATTTATAGTTGCCTAGTATCAATAAAAACATTGAAGAGTTAGTGTATGAGTGCAGAAAATATACTGCAGTTTCTAAATATCCATTTTTCGTCATCTCCGAATGAAAACTGATCACGCGTACGTTAATTTAGCTGGACCATTCCAAGGTACCTATTTTCCCGTTTGCATCGATGCTTACTCTAAATGACCCGAGATTTTACTGATGGTTAAAAACACTTACCAGAAAACTATTATGAAATTACGAAAGTTATTATATAATGCAATTTGACTTACACAAGATCCGATATAAATAATGTAATCAAATCAGGATCTTCAATTGACTGTAAAAATTGTTTAATATTTGATAAAAATAAATTTGGATTATGATCATGTAAGAGATTGAAATTGATTCGATGACGACGCATCATTTTAACAGCTTGTTCATATTGTTTACTAAATAAACAATAAAAATATTTTTTTTAGAAATAAAACGTAATAAGCATTGATTCACAATAATAACACAATATAAAAAAGGGTGAAATTTATCAAATGAAAATTAATCCTCCAAGAAAGAGGCAAAAAAGAATACTGAAACATTAAGCTGAATTAGAGCAAGCACATGGATTCTAACTAGTAGTCAAAAATATCAACAACAGAAAAATGTAGGCCATTTATAATAATAATAATAATTCAAACATTATACTCGTTGAGTTAATTAGTTAATGGCTACCTAAACTCATTAGATTAGTGGATAACATGTTGATTGCATAAAGAGTAAAGGTATACATTAAATTATTTTTTTCAGTCTGAACAACAACACTTGGATCCAAGTAGATCCAGTTGATAAGTCTCAGACATGATGAAATGCCCTGACTGGAGTTCACAATCCAAATATTCTAAAAACACTTACGATGTTGTCTACATCAAGACAATCCGTTCATGATGCATCACACAGACAACAAAAACACCATCAAAGACTCCTCAAGATTTAGTCCTTAATATTAACAACGAGGTGTAATATGAATACTAATACTAATAATGGTAAAAATAATAATAATAACTTAACTTACCTATTTAATAATTTGCATAAATATGCCAGTACAAGAGCACGTGGATGAATTTCTTCTAGGTTGCCACGTGGCATTTGTAATATCACTTTCGTGTCATTTGGTATCGCTGTGACTATGACTGAACCAGATTCAATTGGATGTAAATTGTCATTATACCAATTACGCGGCGGTTTACCTGTACTAATGTCTAATTCTGATGGAATGTTCAGTCGTGAAAGTAATTCTATGTTGAGTTGAGGTGGTAGCAGAGGAATGAGTAGAAGTAAAAGCAGGAAAAATAAACAAAGGAAATAATCTAAATAATTTCAAAGGATTTAAATTTAGGGACAATCTTCGCAAAAGAAAAAAAACTGCCTACGTTTATGTTATCAGTAATAAAAAGTCAAGCCTGAATATATATATATATATATATATATATATATATATATATATATAAAATGATAATATACAAGTCTTAACAAACACATATCATATCTCATTGAACAAGCCAGCGGTTATTTAAATTCAATGGCTCAATGGATAACACATTGAAGTTTGAAGTGATAAGTAGTGAGTTTGAGTCTGGGTGAGTGAACGTTAACAGGAGGCTGTGAATTACATAGTTTTGGTTGGATAAAACATTGAGGATGTGAGATAAAGCTGTACCAACAGGCCTGAATTAGTCTGAATCCGATACACAGGTGTACCAAGTAAAACAAGATAAAACCTACGATATCTTAAGTACATATGAGATATTGCGAACAAACGAATTCACTGAAAACGTAACTGGGTTAGATTATTGTAGTGTTGTGCGTCATCTGCATTCAACACTGATACACAAAGCCGATCGGCTACTTGACTGAGAAATGAGTGTGAGAAGAAAGCTATTTAAGGTCAAACATAATCGATAGATAACACCCATATATATATATATATATATATATATATATATATATATATATATATATATATATATATATATATATATATATATATATATATATATATACGTGTATATATAAATATACATATATTTTAGGAATTTGGGCCACATGTTTAATCAATGGCAAATGTACTGTTAAAAATGGAAGAGTTTGCAAGTTTCAACTAAGCAACTGTAACAATAGTTTTCTAACAAATGTGAAAAAATTGTACAGTATAGCGGAAGGGGGTTAAAGCGGATACTCATGTTTTGATTATTTTATTTAAAGAAAATGTTTAATCGATGGTCAGTTAAGTAGCTTTTAAATATATCGATCGATTTGGAGATCTTCAATTAACATTTCGACCTTGTGAGTAATTATAAATCGGTTTCGCTGTACGAATATACATTTATCGACTACATTTAGTGGTTCATGTCAATATATTTGAACGCCTCCTTCTTTACACCAAGAAAGAAACCATCCTTATATATCATTAGCCTTTAATATTTAAATCTCAAAAATAATTAAAACATCAGCAATTATTTGAATAAGGAAGTTTTTTTGAGACTATTGAATTGCGTCGTTTACATCATAGACGAACGATAGTTAGAAAACTCTAGAAAATTAACAAGCACTAGATAGGTGTTTTATCCTAGTATACAATTTCTTAGAAATGTGCATTCCAAAATATATTGAGGAATAAACTTGGTCAACACCTTTAATCTTCAGACCTCTGAGTTGATATTTAACAATTGAGATTTGTAAAATACACAGAAATTTTATTCAAATTAAATATAAATATAAATATATATATATTGATATGTTAAATTAAATTCACCTTTTAAAAGACTATTTGGATCATTAATTTGAGATGAATTGAATAATAGTGAGACACAGATTAAAAGTTTTTTTATACTAGTTACAATCAAATAATCAGATAAACCAATGAATGAAGAACAACAATCGGTAAGATTCATTGCAATAATATCACTTTGTTGAAAATGTGCCATTTTATTTTTTGGCAATACAGCACCAAATAAACGATGTGTTGATTTATTGAAACCAAGTAGAATTAAAGTAGAATATGATTGTGAACAATTGACTATTATAGAGGGATTCAATGGAATAGTATTATTATTGTATTGATCAAATACTGGTATACATAATAATTGATCACAATTAGATGGAAATTGTATTGTACAATTTAATGGACTGTAAGAAGAATGTTGTAAATTATCCATAGGGAATTCATTCGATTGTATAATTTCATAACAGCAATTACTATCTGAAATGAAGTAATTATATCACATTGTAAGAAGTTAAAGCTATCAGTATTGAGTTATCCCCATAGTATGAATGATTTGTTTTTAAGTAAACAAAGGAAAATAATGATAAACAACAGCACAAGAACATTTTGCATATACTCGATTGATTATTGTTACCTTAAAATTGATTATTCATCTTGTATTTCTTTCAAATTTTAAAAAAAAAAAATCAAATACTTCCTAATCATATCAAACTATGCAGTAGATAGATAAATTAGAGAATTATACTATAAATCACTAAATACATTCGTTGAGACAAGGAATAATAAATTTACAACTACTTATATCATAAAGAGATGAGAATTAGAATTATGTTGGAAGTGTGAAATTATTATTTAAACTTTTATTGATATTTTAATTTGTTACGCTCGTCTCTAGGTATACTTAAACTATTACGAGTTTACCTTAGTCGAATAACGAGAACAAAACAATGAACCAGAGTCCAGGTAGGCTAGTGTGATCCCTTGACCGAATTGAATCAACAAGAAGTTTTGATATATCGTAGAAATTGTATTCTACAAACACCCAGCCAGCACGCAATGAATCCAAGCACTCAAATTGCGTTTATTTATACCTCATAGAAACGTCCTTGGGAGAGCATACTAAAATGACACAGTAACCAATCACAGCCAAGGATTTTCCTGGTGGGAAATGTGATCTCAAGGTCAACTGATTGGTCCATGAAATAAATTCAAAATAAAGATATTAATCAAGCGAGTTCTGGGGATCTGACATCCCCAACAAATTTGAGTGTTTGACAAAAAAAAACTATGTATACTTACTTAATAGATCTTGAAGTGGATAAACAAAAACAGTACCATTGGACATTTGAACACAAACACGTCCATCATTTGTGGAACAGAGAGTAGTTATTCTGGCAAATTTACTATCATTTCTTGCAATGAGTGTTTTAAATCCTTGACCAGATAAAGAAGATGCTTTGAGTAACCAACTATGAGAAGAAGAAAAATAATAAACCAATGACAACGTCTTATAAACATACACATGAACTTACTAATCAAACAATATTATATGTGACAGAACAAAGAAATATTTAGTTAACACACAAAATAATTGTATTATGAAAGCAATATTTCTATGAATATTCGTCAATATTTGAATAAATAATTTGACAGAAATCGGGTGTTGAGTACATATAGAAGACAGAATTAATAAAAATAATAATGGTGACGAAAATATGGATTCATAAAATATTTAATTTAAAAAAATGCATGTTATAACATTAGTATATTGAAAATGTAGAATTCAAAACGGGATATTTCGTTTTAAACGAAGCTAGTCAACACGATGTCAACAAACATATTTCAAATATCCAGACTTAATTATTAATTGTACGAGTAATACAAACCATTACGATTTAATTCTGTTTGTTATACACAAGTAAGAAATAGGAAAAGTATATTGAAACTGTCAAAACCTACCGTCCATTTACATCACCATTAAAATCAGCATATAGATTTTTCAAATTCAAATAACCTAACAGTAGACCATCTGCAGCAATAAAGCATACTTCATATAGACTTAACCATGTGAAACAACTCAATGAGTTAAATAAATAAATATTTTTCTGTTTAAATTCATTCAGAATTGAACATTTCAACGATTCGTCATTTTCATTGCATTCACTGAACAACTGATCCATGCTAGAATACAATTTGAGGAGAGAAAAAAACAGAAGCGAATTACAGTAGTAAAAAAATAAATTAACTTGCAAAATGTCTATAAGACTTATATCAATTTGAACAGTAAAAAAATATGTTGCACACGTCATTTAAGAACTAAGTAATTTTCCCTTAGTACAAAAGAGAACCCCATGAAACATCTTCATCATTTCAAAGACCTGATAACAAAGTTTAAACAATTCTATAATGGATTTTTGATTCGACATTTTATCTCTTTTTTTTCTTACATTATGAAAATGAGTGTCTGTAAATAATAACAAAAGAGATTTGCCAACTCGAAATTATCAACCTGTCAACTGATTATCAACATTCGCATCGAGTAGTTTGTGAGCAGAACTTCCTCTACCTTAACATGTCATTACAGTTCACTCCGTAAATGCTTGAAAAGGAAAGATTTGATTTACAGGAGGACACTCATATCTTCCTCTACATTGGGTAAGCCCTAGTAGATTACATGACATCGCGAAGATATATGAAGGAAGATGAAAAAGTGGGTCAGATAATTGTGAATCAATGAACTGTTTATTTGACCAAGGATATCACATACATAATATCTACCTGAATTAGCCTACACAATTATATGTATTGGACATTTTCGAAAAACCAGATCGAATAGCAGTACATTTTCACGTCACAGTTCACTCACTATGTGCCATTGTCTGACACAATGGAATTATACTAACTAGCGTAAAAAAAACTTACTCGATTTTAACAACAGTTTTTGGCCAAGGTACAATATTCTGTTGTCCATTATGCCATTCAGCGTACACCTCACCATTACAAAATGACTCCTTCTCTAAAGAGGTTCCATTTGTAATAGTAATGAAATAAGTATTTGGGAACATTTTTTTTGATGACTGACAGTTAACTGTTTGAACTAACATGGACATAACACCGTTGGACGAATGCGATTCATCTTCCAACCATAAACTGGGAATAGATACAGACGAAACAAATGGCACGAAATTACATGGTGTCTTATCGGGTCGATCTGCACCATCTGAATCAAACACCAGTCGTACTGCAAACATTGGAGGTGGAATAACTGAATAAGCAAAACAGCTCATTTCAACGGTATCTAAAGAAATAAATAAGGAAACAAAATGACAACTCAAACTAGAGATTTTTATCATAAACCTATAGTACTTATCTGTGTATTCAGTGAAGCATTACTGCAAAAATGAACAGATATACTCATTCAGTCGAAACGAATACGTTAAGTAACCTTTACAACTTTGCTTAATGACAATCAAACAATTCTCGAAAGTTTATTTAGGTTGAACAGCCCAAAATTTCATTGGCAAATGACCCGCTAAAAAAGAGTGTGCATATCCAATTGTTGTTTGCTAAGTGAAATCTTTTTAGACTTAATTCTATGTTTAAAATATTTGGTGTATCATCGTATTACAGAAAACAAAACATGTTAAACAGGTGTGCAGTGTTATTTCAAAACAGTTCATGTAAAGGCTTCGGTGTGGTAAACAGTCGGTTTTATACTACTGCAGGTACCTCTATATGGACTATCTAAACATTATTTTCTCTCCATTCATTTAAGAATTACTCAAAATTTTCATTTTTATAACTCATTCAAAAACTACAATCTGCAATCTTTTTTAGTAAATTTGAATAGCGACAGGTAGGGAGATCAAGGACAGACCTTTTGTTTTATTTTTCGGTGATGTTCACACTTATTTAAAATTTGATACTTTTCGTTGGAGATGTAACTGGAATTAATGAGTTCAGATAGCTAGTAACTTTTGTAACCAGTAAAAACTTGATTTGTATGGATTGATATATTTTTCGACTGTTAATGTTGGTTTATGTGAATACTAAGCACAATGGCTTAATGTCGTCTTACAAATAGTAATCCATAAAAGTTTCATGAAGATCTATATAGTTTGGAGATAGTTTTTTTTCCAAACGGTTTGATGTTTGCCAAAAGACAAGTAAACAGTGAGAACAATAAGAATACAGAGTTGATCTTCTAATTGTTCTATCAAAATTTATAACAGGGACTGATTGCTTTCAAAACTACGAAGCATCGGAGATTTCTTTAAAATTCTAATTTTCAAATTTCTAAACAGTGGTCATCCACTTGGGCAAAAATAAATGATCGCTGCATTTGAACTGGTATTTTAAAATTAAATTAAATTTTTTTATAAATGAATAATACAACTTTGAACCGGTGAAATTTATAATTTCATTTTGAAAAACTTTAGCTACATTATATGCGAACAATATTCTTCTTCATTCTATTATTTGCTTCTGACATAACACGATGGTCATAGTTAACATTATTCGTAACAGTCTAAGTGAGATATATCGGCTGAAGTATTTACTCCTTAACGTTTTACATGAAACAGATTAATGGAGTGGCGATAAGGCCAAAAAAAGAAACAAGCTTAAAGTGTGAAAATGAAGTTGTATTGAGGTAAAAGTTAACAGAAAAGATGTTTATGATACATAATTATGGACAAACGAAATGAAGAGTTAGAAAGGATGTAGTTTGTCGACTATTTTCATTACAATCTTATATCAGGATACTTACATAATTATGATAATAACCGAGTTTTAATAATGAACAAATAGTAAAAATAATTAATGCTTACTTCCATTGATCATAGCAACAAGACCAGAATTCAACGATGTTGTATTTACACTGGAATTTGTTATTATACATGATGAATTATACATGTTGTTCATTTTCCAACACTGTAACAATGTCTTGCCGTTAACTTGATTTTCATTAGACAACAATTCATTGATTGATATAGCACAATAAAGAGTTGACAAATCTGTACTATAAGCATGATGATCCCATGCTAATGAGATATTGGAAATTTTATTATAATTTAACGGTGAGTTGTCAGGTATACAGAAATGCTGTTTTATTGACCACTGATAATTAGAACAAGTTAATAGTCGAACTGTAATGAAAGTAAGCAGCATAAAGAGACTCAGATAAGTTTTATCTTTCAATGGTGTAAATGTGTTGACAGAAGTAGTAAGGTGAGACAGTTAATATTTAAGTGACTATAAAAAATGTGATGGAAAAAAAGTCGGTATCAATCATTGCCATAGAAGAAATGAACCAAATGTAAAATGTTGCTTCAGGACTAGTATATATCCACGCCTAAACTAATGCTTAGGCACAGCGACGACAGTTCACTTGGTACCACAATGGTGAAACACCGACCTCGGTAGTTAGGACATATGATACGAATGTCGTGCACAAGCGAATTCCACATTGTGCATTATCGGACAACGGTGGGACTGGTTGGAAAAGGTGGTCGGTGGTCAGTGTATGACCTTGTGTTGTGGTATGAAAAGATGTACAGGCCTAACATATCGTACCTTTATGAAACCCTGTCTGGAGTATTAGAGATAGTGGAACTCAATGGCTTGAGACGTTATCAGACATGACTCAGGAAAGAATCAGTGTGGCGGTCCTGTTATCATTTTCTCTTACTTTCTTTACATGAGTGAGAGGAACTTCTTTAATTAAAAGAATCGTTTCTGGTTGTATTTTCCTTAACTGAACTATTCCTCCAACCAATATTATAATTACTATTATTTCACTTTCATACACTAATTTCTATCCAGTTTTGTTCTCTTGTTTATTATAATCTTTCTTCATCTATCGCTTTACAATCTTACTTTTGTGACGTTTATGTATATTTTGGTGCCTTTTTGTACTAATGTTTATGTATGGGTAAATAAACTGTCTAGCAAAAAACCCTACATACATTGTGTTCGTCACCGGAAATGTGCATTTGAAATTTAGCATGGAAAAATACGAATTATTCAACCATGAAACTCAGTAGACTGAATAACACTTACTAAACCAAGGGTGGTTTTGAGTTCCCCTGCACAGCACTGCCAAAATTGAACCGGTTGAATTAAATAGGATAGATTCCACTTGATAAAACTTTTCAGATTCATCTCCAATCAGTTCGAATTCTCCATGAGGTTGAGAGTTCGATTCGAAAAATATAATATCTAATCCATGACCTTCGCGTCGTTGGGTCGTTGTAATTAGCTGAACACGAGGTCTAGGGTTTCAGAAGAAAAACACCACAGTAAAACTCCATGTACATATTATAGATGGATTTTATTATGCTGTGGATTTTAAAACTGTGAAATCTAAGCCACAGTTGTGTGTGACACTAGCGAGTGTTAAATAGTACGAACGAAACCTAAATCCAGGAATTCCAGTTAATTTTGTTCAGTTACAGAATATTCGGCTAATGAAAATCCTAAACAATCAAACCACTGGAAAGTGGAACCTGATAAAATGCAATCTCATCTATCAAACGAAATGACTGAGGTAAAATACTTTTAATAACCTACAGAAACTACTAATTGAATGGTAATGAATAGAAACTAAGAGCTAACCTGACTATATTGAAAAGAAATTACTTTACAATAAATATGAAGAAATAACTAAGAAAACTTGGAAAATTTAATCTACCTCCAACAAAGTCCCGGAGAAATCATATTCGTTATTTCAGTTGTGGAAAACAATTCACCAGTATCATTGTAAACGCGTATACGTCTACGATTCTCTGTCAATGGATCAAGCCATGATACAGCGAAATAAAGACCATCATCACGCCAAGCAATTTCAAAACGACCGTCATCGTATTGACTGTTTGAAACTGGTAGAATCTGATATGAAAATAAAAAATGGCAAATGGTGCCTTCATCAATACGTAACCTGAAATAATCACTAAGATTTACACACACTCTTTTTGGTTAAAAACTTCACATAAGTATTTTTTTCACTTTAGATATTTTTGTGTTACATAGTATTTTATTTACTTCTGATAATTAATACACCATTGATGTAAGCTCGCTAGCTGTCTTCCACAACTATTTGGAAAAACTGATAAATTGTGATAACTGTTCACAATAAGGTTATCAGTATAACTTAGAAAATAAAATTTTGTTTCTAATAAGTCATGATAACTACTTAAAAGACTTAGTCACCTCTCCGTTCCATGTAAACCATATCATTGTCTTCCTCCCAGATGACAAGTGATCTGTTTTTAAAAGAACTTAACAAGTAGGTCTAGGGCAAAAAACCGGATATCTTGATACCTTAGGCGTTCTTACTGTTTTACTCGTTCAACTGATATGCCATTTGTTCGATAGATGAATACACTAACAAATTCTTATTCGAAGGGAGACGAGTGCAGAGAAGAATAAGAAATAATATTTACATTTCGGGAGGAATGAAACTGTTAAGTGATGACTTGTCGTTTAAAAGCATTTGACTTCCAACCAACCAGTGGGTTGCGTATTTGAACTCTGCTTAACCTAATTCGGTCTTACTAGACGGGTTGTTGTACTAACAAAAACAAACAATATGGTTGAAAGCCGAGTACATAAACCTGTAATTGATATATATATATATATATATATATATCAGTACTTATTTTCAATGTGAGGTCACAATGATTGATAATCATCTCATCCCAACATATAGTGAAGCCGTCTTCTAAGAACGCATATGTAAATACCTTGACATAAATGAGAAGTCATTTCTGACTTTATAGTCTAGAACAAGTAACAGCCAGCCGTTAACCTGTAGTGAAATACTTAACTACAAACTATTTAAAACGCTGAACGCTATATTCACTTAGACGTTACTTTACTACAATCTCCGTAACAGAACACAGAAAATTAAATTGTATTCTAAGTTGAATTGATGTTTAGTCATTTTCGAATACTAATAAATTGGAAAACATGTTTTTCGATCACATTTATTTCAGCTTTAAATATGAGAGGGTGTCCTGCTCTACCAGAAAAAGCCAGAATGTATTAAGGATTTAACGATCTAGTTTACAGTTGATACAGAAAATCAGTAATCAATCATTTCGTATCATTTACTAGTCAGCATTCGAAATATATCAATAAATGGATAGTGTTTATCGTAACAAATCGAACCATCCTTTATCACCAATTACAGGCTGGATATGCTTACTGTTTACAATAGAAAACAAAGCAACTTGAAATGAATAACAAATTGATTTGTTAGTGAAGCACGCCTAAAACAAAAGCTAGGAAACGAACCTCTTACAAAACACATTACTAATTCTTGTTATCGATATATTACCTACGCTAAAATAGCAATCGAATCTAAATTCATTTGTCCGGCTTCGGGCTACACTTGAGGTATGAAGGCTACCAAAGCCGAAATAGATGAAGCATGACCTAAACCTTCAACCTAAAAATTAAAATCCAAGTGTTTTAATTACTGATACACCTAACTGGGAAATATGTTTGTTCTATGTTGTTATATTTCATGCCAACACAGTAAGAGAAAAAACTGACAAGTCGAACGAATGTGTTAAGAAGTATTACGGTCAGGGGTAAAAAAAAGTTTAAAAACACGAATATTTTTCAAACCCCCAAGACTCATAACTACTGAATAAAGTGATTTAAGGGATTACATTCCAGTTAGTATCCAACTACTTGGGTGAGATAGAATAACTAAGGGCTTTATGCACTTATCTTTATTGGTGTGACCAGATATTTATGATCGACTTATATACTAACATTAAGTAATTACAACTTCCGATCATATGTACGGGCATAGTGACTATTAGTATCAACATACTGAAAAACTGATTTTAGGGGTTTGTAGATGCTTTGCGAAAACCATCCTAACATATTCCATTTTTTGGAACTGAGTGTAAAAGGCGGAAATAATCAATTCATAATGTGAAATAGAACTGCATAAGACTAACGTGTTGGTTTATCCCAACTCATTGATAGGTGGCTTAGATATCATGCTAATCGGAGACATTACAATTATCAGACAAGGAACAGAGTAGAAGTCAATCGCAATCTTAATGTAGTTGTTTTAAATATATCGCCCTAGTAAGATGAAGCTTCTCAGATGAGCCAAGTTAATCTTGTTTTATCAAAATTGGAAAATGGCAAGCTGTTAACTTCCCTACAAACTCTTGAAAACGGAATTAATGTCAGTCATATTTTAAACCAAGTATTATAATTTTATCAGACCATTACTGATCATAACATTTTTATTTATTTCTTTACAACATCACTCCTCAATATAGTGCGATTTTGGTCTTGCGCAAAAAATATGTTATGAATAAATAAATCGCACATATGTGAAGCTGGTTAGGAGACACCTGATTGACCCTGACTATAAAGAACAAAGTTAATACCAGTACACATGAGCGTGAGTTATGAAAGAGAGAAAAGGATAGAAATTATCTACCGAATGGTTTTGTCGCTAGCTCAAAACTAATGAAAACGGTGCACATATATCTACCTAGTGTATTCGTTTAAACCTTGGAAATTTCGTAGGATTTTACTTTCGCTATCTGGACATTTTCAGTTGATAACTCATCGTTGGTATCTTGCTTCTTGATAGCATCACAAATCGAAGTTACTTGGACTGAGTTGGTGTTTTGGATATATATCAGTACTTTTATGGATAAATCGCAACTTAATTAAAAAATGATGAATTTTCAAAAAGCGCAACCGAGATTCGCTCGGATTTCAGTATTGTCAGATTTGCCCATAGAAACTACAAGGATCATTACCCTAAAGAAAAAAGCACTTTAGCCACACAAACGATTCAACTAATCACTTCTGGAAGACAAGAGACCTATGCTCGCCAAAAATTAACGATAACAGAGACGAGTACTAATATTGTGTAACCATGAAACAGACTCTATAAACCATACATACCGAAAAGTACGGTATATAGTATATAAGCTGTTAAGCATTGAACACATTTTAATCAATACCTGTTTCGCTAAAGCTGCTTCTTTGCCTTCCGAGCCATGAAACTGAGTTTCTTTTTTACCCCAACCCAGAGAAACTGGTAGAGCTGAGGAGAAGTAATGGCAAAAAAAATATTTACCTGATCCGAATCCTTCCTCGTACAGAGAAAAGTTAGATATAGTTTCAAGTGTTGAAGAAAGAATACGAACAATACCATCGCCTAAAAATCTTTGTCAAAAAAACTTACCTACCAGTTAAGACAACTATTTTTGAAAGATCTGGAGAAACACAGACAGCTTTTAATTCGGTGCTGAGAGTAAGCGTTTCATAAATCTGTTTGTCATGATGATGCAAATAACATACTTGGTGATTTAGTGAATGCCAAAGAAATATTTCACTGGAAGTTGCAACTAAATATACAGGTGGAGATATCGCGGAGCAGCTGTGTATTTCTTTCTGTGTGTCCGGAGCACGATAAGTATTCATCTATTTACATTCATTTGTTGAATCCCAGAAGACCTACCCCCTTGCTACTGATCAACTCAATGCTGCTCTCAAAGGAAACAGTGATACTTTCAGAGCAGTCATCCAAAGATATATGCCGTACATTGCAACCTTCGAGCCACAAACTACCGTGACTTGATAAGTTGATGTTACGCATGTTTTGGAGAATTTCACTTTGCCTCCAACAACTTGACCAAGACAAATAGCATAAAACTTCTGTGTACAGTTCTCAAGGTCATCGGGTCGGAAATATCCGGAACATCCTTTAACTTTTTCATTACAGGAGTAGTGAAATTATGTTCATAACTTAATTTATCAACAATGAGAATATATACATTACGTACATCTGTGAAAATTGAATCGCTTCATGAAAACTGGTGTATTGAATATCATTATCAACATGGACTATGCTCAAGAGACGTAATGTTATTTCGTACTTTGATGAACATTGTCTTTTGTATTCTAGCCTTAAGAAAAAACTGATTGTGATTGAGAGAAGCCGTTCTGAGCTGAAAGCCCACCAATTTCCTTTACTAACTAGGGTCAGCTGTGATACTACGATATTTGGACTCTGTGTATGAAGTTAAGTTGAAGATATAAGTTGATACTTTCACTTTAGGGGTAGCTTTTCGTCACGAACCAATTCAGCTGTGATTCAATGTTTTGTCATCCCGTTATTTACTAACTTGGAAGTTTGTAGTTGATATTTATCGTAAGCATTAGAAAGTGATGAGATTATTTAAGTTCACAGAACACTCTTGACAAAGCAATAAATCACAACTATTTGAAAATATGAATGTATAGTTAATTTGCATCAGAACCATCCCAAATTCACCCTTCAGGTTCACAAAAGAACTTTTATTGGATCATTTCGGAGACTGTATATTGCTAATTTATACTTCACTGATATTAAATATGGGTCGTCTACTATAGAACCCTCAGTTTCATGAACAATACACGAGGTGGATTGACGATCACCACACCTTAAGTACAGACAGCATCAGACACGAACATGTTTCAAGTCTGCATTAGAAGTTATTAATTTGGACAATGACGAGAAATAAACGTAGACTAATGTGAACCCTAAAATGAAGTGTTAGAAAGGGCTTGTTTTGCATAGAGGGATTTTGCGGGCCGGTGTAGAATCTATATTGAATGTTTGTTGTTGATTGCTTGTGATGCACATGCTTGGATTGTTGTTGCCTATTTTTGTCGGTGAAAAGAACCAAGGTTCTTTTGGTCGGGAGTGTTACGGGAGAAATGAAGAAATTTGGCTGATTAAAAACTTTATATAAATATCATTAATTTCACTGTTTTTTGGGTATATTTGTTTTTACTTAACTTATGAACTTGTTTGATTTATTATTTTCGGCCATTTTGATTTCTGTTTGTCTTGGTTTGGTCATTTGGAAATTTTGCTCCAGGAACCTATAGAATTGAAGGTATTTGTACTTATTATAATTATTGTTGTTTGAACGACATTGGTCGACTATTTGTAAATTGACGAACGACATTTTGGTCAACTATTTGTGAATTACGAATAAACTTTGTTGCCTAACTTTGGAGTTTGGTTATGTTGTTAATCTGCGTTCGGGAATTGCAAATAGTTTCCAGTTACGTTACCTATGTGATGTTTTTCCGAGAGTGGAAAATGTTCTTAAATTGCAGCTGAACAAACTGATATTAAGACTTTCGGGAAGCTACTAGTGTTTTAAACGTTGGAATTAGATGCCTGTTAATTAGCGCATTTATCGTCATCGATATTCCATACGTTATATAAGGCCCAGATTTTGTGAGCTCATATCACTTGATAGTTGATCGGGAAGCGAAAGTCCAGCCCCGTTATGCCGCCCACTACAACTAAGACTATACAGCTCCTAACTGAAATTTTCTCACGAAATGGCATACCAGATGTGATCGTATCCGACAATGGCTCTCAATTCACCTCTTCCCAATTCCAGAATTTCTGTCAACGGCTAGCCATTAAACACTTACGCTCGCCACCATACCACCCGCAATCGAATGGGCAGGCGGAAAGGTTTGTGGATACGTTTAAAAGAGCACTGCTTAAGTCAAAAGGGGAGGGGACGCCAGCCGAAGCATTACAAAATTTCTTGTACGTCTATCGGACAACACCAAATGAATTGTTACCGGAGCGAAAGTCCCCAGCTGAAATCCTGATGGGAAGAAGATTGAAAACGATCCACAGCCTGATGCATCCGACTAATGCACCCTCATCAGTAGAGACAAAGCAGCAAAGACAATACACTTACGAAGTAGGATGCCCTGTGTTTGCCCGCGACTACAGAACGAACCATGGTCCTTGGGTAGAAGCGAGAGTGGTCAGAAGGGTTGGTCGAGTTATGTACGAAGTAGAGGTAGGAGGTGATAAATGGTCACGTCATCGGAATCAGATACGCAGACGGCTAGCCCCAGATCGCCCATCAAGAGCAGAAAGCCTTCCCCTTGACATCTTGCTTGATACCTTCAACCTACCGAGAGCCCCGCCACGAGAAGAAACTCAGCAGCAAGCTGTTCTTCGTTCCCGAAGGTATCCCCTCAGACAGCGGCGAACAATAGTCAAGATGCAAGTCAACCACAGGAGAACACGCTATTAAAAAGGGGAGGAGTGTTGGGGATGTTAGATCCCCAAAATTCGCTTGATAATGCCGTATTTCGGTTTTCACGTTCGCCAGCAGGGGCTGATCAAATGACCTTGAGATTTCAATTCCCACCAGGAAAATCAATGGCTGTGATTGGCTACAGTGTATTTTAGTATGCTATTTTCTTAACTGTCTCAAGGACGTTGTTATGTTGTATAAATAAACGAGAGTTGTATGCTTGGTTGTTGTGTGATTGCTGGGTGTTTGTAGAATATACTTTCTACGCTTACAAAGCCTTCTATTCGATTTTGGGTATTCAAGGTAGCCTCCCTGGAAGCTGGTAAAAGTCTCGTTCGCGTTTATCGACTAAGGTAAACTCGTAATAGCCTCAAGCATACCAAGTGACGAACTTTCGGACCCTCAGGTAGACAGCATAAAGATAAATACACTCAAAGGGATGATAATTGAGCTATTGGTAACTAGTGCCGTGAAACTGAAATTTCTAACTTATCATGCAACAGTGATCAAACATTTAATCTTTCAGTATGTTATCACGATGAGTTGAATAGTTAAGCCATGCCGCTTCTTTTACGGCTGAAAAAAGTAGCTACAGAAAATTTCAAGTTTAACCAGAAGATGCGCTTATGGATTATTTACTCTTCCAATTGCCTCGGGGTATCTCTACCTAAGAAGACCAAGACGTTTGCTTTTGTGATGACTATTGTTTGGTGAACAACTTCAAACTACCCAATCGTTACTGTATTCCTCATTCGCATGATTTTTCGCTTACATTAAGCGAAAAAATATTAACAATTTCGAATACGTTAATCCTGTTTATCATGCTACGTCCTCTCCACTGATGTCGTCTCAGTCCTCTCAGTGCACAGGAGGATGCTTCAAAAACATGTACTTCTCGTTTACTTGCGGTCTTCTTGAAATTACCCAAGCTGAAACGTGTCTCTTATTTTGTGCTAACTTCAATCATTCCTACTATTTATAACATTGTGATAACTTCAACGGCTGCTTGTCTGCTCAATCGATATGTTATTCATAGGCATCTGCTTGCTTGAAAGATTAATTTATGTATGGTATGCATTTCATCCTTTCGTCTTTCGCTCACACTCTAACTGTTTTATTTCCCACACTGCAACAAACCATGTTTCTGCCCATTATTATATCATCTAAATTTAGAGCTAACACAGTCACCTAGAATGAACATTCTATTCATGAACAGTAATTGGTGACTTTAATTAACTATCTAATTGAAAAATGCTTCAAGATTTTTCAAACTTAATTTTTTCAAACTCTAGATTAAATTATTGGATGTTAAATGACCGGGAATTATTGATCAAGGTCGGCCGTGTTTATGGATGTGGACTGTCTTAGTCCACATAGAATTACGAAGAAGAGTTTACTCCGAGTGGCTGAGTAATGACTAAGACATTTTCTAGTATTCTTTTTGTTCAGATTAACAATTAAATCGCAAATCGAGTCTTCTGTACAACGTATACCGGATGAAAGTTTACCGGATGTCCAGAATTTTCTTGCAGTTTTGGAAAATCTATTCTATCATGGCCTAAAATGTAGGTTTTGTAATTTTCTAATTCTTAGCTGATAATTTCATTGTTGGTAAAAAATTTCGAAAGCATCCTTGGCATCTCATACTTCAGTTGTCGAATTTACCCAGTTTCTCACATACGTCGTCAGTAAATTTTCTTGACCATCTCAAAACGAATTTCTCAAAGGTATTTGTTTCAATAATTTTTTCAACCCCTTAGCTCCGAGCTTGGATTAAACTATCTATTGTTAGGTGTTGTCTACACTCTGCAATGTTAGATCTAGTTCAAATGAAACCCAATTTGACGTGAGTTTTTGTGTAGATAGACTGTTAAAGGTCATGTTCTCATATTTTAACCGAAATGAAATCTGTCTTACGTTAAGTTGCATAATTGATAAGTGCTTCCTATTTTTCTGAAATTGTCCATCTGATTACGAAATATGATTATCTGTAAACCCGATGACAAAATTTTCAGCCCATTAAATTTAAGTATATATATTTATGAGGAACTGAACGGTTGCTGAATAATTTCATTACAAGCTGCTCTTAAAGACTTCGTCGTATCACTTCCCGCTTACCTACTCATATTTTCGTGGTGTAGGGGTAGGCTAGAAGGAAGCTAGTGGCGGCCAAACCGAAACTTGCCACTAATGCATGGAGTCACTGACAAGTGGACTGATCCATGTTAGTACGTATAGACTGTCTGGTTTGGTTTCGCGCGAAGGTCGTGATCAGTGGTTACAGACTCTGAATGACATAGCTGAAAATCGTTTGCAATGACGCAGGTGTATCCATTCTCTGTTGTTTCCCAAATTCTAATCTCAACTCCTAATGTCCATTTTTCAGTGACCATATTTTAATCATCATCACCATATATGTAACAGTGAGTCATACTGTAGTCTTTTTCTGTTTATTTCCTGAAAACGGCGCCAAGTGTCCATATAAAGCACTAGCGGCCAAAACGGAAAGTAACCTTGCTTTGGTAAATGATCCGCTCATTCAAGACTCTCCCCCCACATTTAAGTCTATTACATATTATATGACTTTATTTTTCCATATAATCTGGTTGACACTTCAGCAACATGTGATATCTCCGGCCGTGTGCGGTATTTCAGGAAAGATGCTATGTTTAAGGACATAGTGAAATTTAGTGTTTGGTGATTGTAAAGTAGATAAATCCTTTTGCAACCGATTCCGAACCGTTAAATACCTAATTCATACCTGTAACTCAGTCGAATTTATTACTCTAAGCCCATGCTTTGCTAGTTTTGAATGTTATACTGAATCGCACCTGATTCTTGACCATTATTTTTGAGGTTAGAGCCACTTCGTTTCATTTGAGTAGCACAACGAATTTGATTTATGATCGAGCAAGCTGAGTTGTCTTGTTATTTTTATAAATTATAAATCCACTCTTAGTTTCTATACCCATTGCTATTTCTGTGAAAAAATCCATCTCATTAATCTTCATTGGTTGTATTATCTTTATTTTCTTTATGTTTGGAAAAACCGAAATTTTATTTCCTTAAAACTGTCTTTTTTCAGGAAATATTATTGTCAGGATGCTGTCTTTCGTTCGGAAGAAATCTTTAATCTAATTGACTCTCTCGTAGGATTGGAAAATATCCAATTTAAGTAAGAATGCAAACTTGGCTTACCATAGTGAACTAGTTTGGATTTTAAAACTGAACTCTTGGATTATTCTCATTGTGTTCCTCCGATTGATTTCTCACCCTTTCTTTTGCTCAAGCAAAGGTATGTCTTAAATATGAATAATTTAGATAAAACCCAAAGTTACGCTACGATTAAGAAACTATTCCTCATTTTTTCAGTTTAGAAACACAACTCAATGTAATTTGTGAATGCCAGAATAAGAATACTAAAGATGTAAACTCGGAATGTATGTGGCGCCGTGAATTTGAAAAATTAAAACAAAATCAGGTTTACTCATCAGAACAACATGTAAGACCAGTTTTTTTGTTACATAAACATGTTTCCATTGTGACGAATACTGGTATTTTTATGTTCCAAGTAGCAGCATAACTGTGTTAAGTTGTTTATTGGATAACCACTGCACTAAGTGAAATCTTATTGGGTTGATCGGTGACTGTTACATTCAGTTATCATAGTATCCTAGTTTTCTATTCAAATCATGATTTGGGTAAGGTTTCGTTCTCTGAGCTTGGTGGTTTTTTAATCTTAACGCTTTCATCGACGTAAGATTCCTTATTAAGCTACGCAGCTCAGAGAACGAAATTCTAAAATCAATCGCCTAGACTATAAATCTTTTACATCAATTCAAATGATGTTTTTAAAAACCTCTTACTTTTAGTACATACCGTAATCACTTCTGACATCAATAAATAATAATCATAAACAAGTGTAAGCAGTTTATCAGAAAGTCGTTACCTTTGTCACAATTCTAATAATGCCTCCACTGTTTCATGAGTTAGTGAAGATGAATAATTGATCTCTTTCAAGCGATAAGTTATCAGGAGAATATTTCGTCTCTTTGTCTGTCTTCTAAACATTACAAACTCATGATAATTTTCTCATATTCAACGGAAAAATTTCAGGCTTCATGAGTCTTTTGATAATATATGCAGTTAAACCATCTAGCTCAAAGAACTCAGCAATACGAAAAGCACTCGCCTAAGCTACAGGTGTTTTTCCGATATGTATAACATAATCTGATTGGTTCGAAGTAGAAGAATATTTCAATATTTTTCCTAAAGTTTTATCTTCTAAGACAGTAGCGTGTCCTTATTAGCGATAAATAGTAAGTCATAGCAACTCAGTGAATGTTTATTTAATTATTTGTAATAATATTAGTAATAATAATAGTAAAAAAGACCGATTGCACAAAGATTAACTGCCAGTTTGCGGTCCCTGGGTTCCTGAGTCTGACTTCTGTCTGTATAAAAATGAACAAACTAGTCAACAAATAAGATTTATGTTCGAAATTTGTGTATAGAGTTACTCGATTTTAAAGGATATCAAAATTTTAAGTTTCCTGACTGTCTCACTTATATTTCATTGACTACTTATATCAAACAGGATTTTTTGTATAATCTAAGATTGATTAAATATATACATCTAGGATTGAATTCAAGTCTTAACTCCTGAATTTTTCCCATAACTGCTAAAATTCATCTCGTGACAAAATTATTAAGGTATTTTCAAACTGTATATATCTCGGCAAAAAGTTGTTGGCAGAAGAAACCAGTTTTGTTTTCTGTCCTAATCACAATCACTACCTTTTTAAATTTTGCTCTACTACTGCGTCGATGACTAGTCTTCCGAAATACATGTTTAGATCATATTTATTAGGTAACGGTTTATAAACTTATCAGCCGTACTTAGTGTTTCACAAAAAATATCTGGATCGCTCACATACTGTATGATCCCAGCTATCCTTAAAAGAAATCTAATATTTGAAACCAACTGTTCGCGAATATGTACAATATTTCAACTGTAAAGTAGCTGTAGACTAATGTTCGCTTTTTCTGCATATCTGTCACTTACTTACTTATCTATGCCTGTTACTGCCAATAGGACACCGACCATCATTCCCCAACCTAATCTGCCTTGGGCCTTCCTTTCTAGTTCTGTCCAATTATTGTTCATTCTTCTCATGTCTGTCTCCATTTCTCGGCGTAATGTGTTTTTTGGTCTTCCTCTTTTCCTTTCGCCTTGAGGATTCCAAGTGAGGGCTTGTCTTGTGGTGAAGTCGAGTACTTTCATCAATGTATGTCCTATCCACTTCCAACGCTTCTTCCTGATTTGTTCCTCCACTGGAATCTAATTTCTCTCCTTTAATAGGTTGTTGCTGATAGTGTCTGGTCAATTAATCCGAAGTATTTTGCATAGACAACTGTTAATAAACACTAGTATCTTGTGGATGATGACTTTCGTGGTTCTCCAAGTTTTCGCCCCATACAGTAGAACTGTCTTGACATTTGTATTGAAAATTGTGACTTTGGTGTTGGTTGATAGTTGTTTTGAGTTCCAGATGTTGTTCAACTGTAGAAATGCTTTCCTTTCTTTGCCGATCCGCGCCCTCGAATCTGCATCAGGTTCACCTTGCTCGCCAATGATGCTGCTGAGGTATGTAAAGGTTTTTTACATCTTCCAAAGCTTCACCGTCAAGTGTGATTTGGTTTGTGCATGTGTTATGTTGGAGAATGTTGCTTTCCCCTTTGTATGTTGAGACCTGCTGCTGCAGAGGTTGCTGCTACGCGGGTCATCATCTGTATTTGTGTGTGGGATAGAAGGGATAGATCATCTGTGAAGTTCAAATCGTCTAGCTGTGTCCTAGCTATCAACTTCATCCCGTGCTTCCCTCCAGATGTTGACGTCTTCATAATCCAGTCGATCACCTGGAGAAAGACAATCGAGAGTAAGCAACCTTACCTGATACTGGTCTTCACCTTGAACAGGTCTGTGAACAGTCCTCCATGCACTATTTCCTCCTTTCTTGAATTTTTTCAAGAGATCCATACCTATTCCAGTTGTTCTCCATGGTAGTTTCTTCTTCATTGAGTAGATCGTGAATGGCCTGGAACCTATTGTTAAGGGATATCCTGAATTCGTTGAGTTTGTCAGTATCGCGAAGAGAGGCCGTATTCAACTTCTGTGGTGTTGTTCCGCCCTCCTGAAGCCACTCTGGGGCTACTGCTTATACCAAGCCCGGTTAAAGTAGGAGGGTTGGGCATGGAGTTTGGCGACCCCATCCGTAGGAAACTGACTCGCTAAGAAGCGCTAACCAAAAAAAAATAATTTTGGGTATCCATGCATAACAATTACTCACTAACAGGTGACTGATGATATGTTTTCCAGTTATTCCTTTTTTCCATGCAGTTGAGATATTCCAATATTCATATAATGTTTTCAAGGCCGTTCTTGTAATGCGTCCAATGTATAAATTAAGGTGGTCCAGCTTACCAATCACATTAAAAATAGGTGTGTTTAGTATCACAGAATTTCCTCGTACGACCGATAGTAGGGAGATCCCACTCCCCCTCTCAGTGCCCTTATATGGCCGCGCATATATCACCGTTTTCAGGGAAGTTTTAGTCACTTCCTTCTCGTCACAGGGTGTTGTTTACGAAATTGAGAGGATGAAAAGGGAATATCCGGCGCTTAAACTAGTTTGGTGGGTATGGAATACCTATCTAGAGACTTCGGAAAATCCTGATTCCGAACCATTGATACACATAGGTTTCAGGATCCTGATGAAACAAATGGCGTATGAACCTATTGTTGCTCATCGACTACCGTGAAACCACATCTACCAACGTTGCTCCATTGTCTTGTGGTTTAGACTTTTAGGTCAAAGGCCTCGGGTTATTGGTGTCCGGTTTTTCGGATTAGATTATTGGGCTTTAGTTTCTGTGTTCCATCTATGGAACTTTTCTTTCAAAGTTTCTCTACAGCTTGGTATGCTTCACAATGTTACCATATATTTCAAATTTGTTCTGTTGATGACTTGTCTTTCCGTCTTTTATGTGCGTAAAATCAATAAGTTAAAGTGTAGGTTACTTGAAAGCTTTAAAAACCTTATCAAATTTTGTAGATCGCATCACTAATTGACTTTATCTAGGCGATAATTATCATTAGGAGGTCACTGAACAGAGATTTAATTCTAACAGGAGACTCATGTACAACATGAACCCACGTCCTTGCACGGGATTAGATCTAGAACTTAGTTTTGACCAAGTTACTTTTAAACTACCGAATTCGAGATTTAATAATGATTTACATTTCCAAGTCATAAAACAAAAAAAACTGCCATAGTTGAAGCGTGCATTTCGTATGTAGAATTTGCTGCCTAATTTAAAGTGAAAAGTGTTTAATTTTGATGAGATTAGTGTGTAATGACAATTCTTTGAGTCTTTATAAACCTTATAGTCAACAGATGAATACTAAATCACTGATTCATATTCACTGGGTTTTCGGGTTACTAACACTACCCTGCTGACCATATTTTTATAAATATATCTACGTTAGAAATTTTGACACATCAATTGAAATTTAGGTTCTTTAACATATACGTAACTAATGAAATTGTCACTTCAGAATGTGAGACTTAAAGTTGTCCTACAAAAGTTTTCATCTTTTCTTATTTAAATCACTACCTAAACGACTCTGGGATTAGCTTTAACAATTTCATCTCTGTGTGCTAATGGGTTTTATGCGTACATGCCAAGCTCTATGTCGCAACTGACTGACTAAGCCAATTTCATTTCTGTCAGTTAATAACTGCTTAAAACAGTACAACACACTAGTAAAAAGTGCTACTGAGATAAGTGAGGTAAACAAGACTGATATTTTTTTCATGGCAATGAAATATATAGCAGTGATGATGGTATTCGTTAATCAAAACGAATATACTGAGGTTAAAAATTCGATAGACTACTTGGGATCAAACTTGATGGTCCAAAGGCACTACGTTAAATGTCGTGTGGAATCGTAGGTACATACTATCAATGAGTCCCCCAAACTAGTTTTAAACATCCATCCAGTACTCAGTGACTTTTAGTACTTCTCTAGTTCGTATTACTGTATGGAGAAATCCAACTTCATGATAGTATAACTTGTTGGATAAATGATAAATTCTAGATAAAAAATGGTAGTTACAAAGTAACTTTCACCTCTGTCCAGTATATCAATCATGACCTTCTGCTTTTTCATTTTTCTTACAGCATTGTGATGAAGAACTGATTCACAAACAGTTTAACCAACTAAATAAATATAAAGAACAAGTAAATTGCTATAAAGAGATGACTGCAGATCTACAAAGTTATATTTTGGAATTACAAGTTAAATTGTACGTTTCTATGCTTCAGTTAATTTTTCTATTCCTTTCTTTTTTCAAAAGAAATTCTTTACTCATATAATTCAATAGGTCACCGGCAGTTAGTTTCAAACTTGTCTATTACAGTCTCATCAATCAACTGGCTAATTAGTCTTGATCATCAATATAGAAGCCAACACAATTGTGTTCCAATCCAACTTGTCATTTTCCATCACTGGTAGCCATTATACAATAAATATCATTTCAAACTATAGTTTGTTTATGAATGATTCTGTGCTTATTGAGTCTCACTGTCCAATAATCGATAAATTATTTTTCATGCATTTTAAGATGCTTCATAAGTAATAAGTTTTAGTATTTACAAATAACAGAAATAATGTTAATAAAATTTAATCAAAATCGAATTGTAAACTGATAACTTCTGTAAAATTTAATACTTCTCAGACATATTCCGTACCATACTGTAAGATCATTAAGTCTGCGTATCCCAACTTATAGTCAAAACAAGTAAAACATAGTATTTAATATTTAATATTTTTAAAATGTAAACTAATCCAATTAGTACAAAATTATCATTAGAGTCAGTTAGAGTGATTGAGATTAAATCATCAAAATATTGAACAGTGATAAGAAGTGTAATTATTAAGTGCATTTTTTCTAAGCGATAATCATACTTGTCAGAGGAGTACAATTTCCATTGTTTAAATACATACCAAGGTCAGGTCAAGTTTATAAATTTTTGTTTATCCAGCCATACATTGCTGATAATGGAATATCCGTCAAAATTCACATATTTTATTAAAATTTTTAAATATTTATTCATTGTCCAACGTTTTCTTCAAACATAATTTGATACAGTGAAAGTATTATAAATCAATATACTCAATCCAGTTCGTGTATTTTTCCAATAGACCGTTTCTGAAAAGTTTATTTTCGTTAATCTTTTTATGCTAACCGGAAATAAGATATGGTATGATATATTACTGTTATTATTATTATTATCTTTTTTTCCAAAGAACACTTATGCATGAACAATACAACCAAGAATTAAAACGTCTAGGTGTTAATCAATCACAATTAACTGCTCCAACATTTCGTGATACTCCAAATCGATTTCAACAAATACATGGTGTCAATAAGCAGCAACCTTCAAAAATCTCATCATTTCTAAATTCATCATCCACATTTATTACTAATGCTACCTATGCTGGTACTAGTATCAATTATCAAATGCCATCAATTTTATCAGTAGATCAAGGTATTGATGCATTAAGCTTGGAAAATTCTTTAAATCCTGACTTGGATAAGAATACTAATACTAATAATAGTAATGGTAATAATAATAATAATAATGATCATTTAATATCAACATCATTTGTAGAGCAGATTCCCGGTGAATCAAAACGATATCGTTCAGTTAAATTCACTGAACCTAATATATGCACTGAAAAATTCGATCAAGATTCATCTGTTGTTTTACCTATGTGTTTATCAAATAAAAAATCAAATTTTAAACGTTTATCATTACCCATAAGAGCACGTTCTAATTCTCCAACTACTACTATTAGTAGTAGTTATTCCGATTCAGTAAATCAATCATCACAACAAAAATATGTTAAATCAAAAAGTTCATTAAAATCAAATAATTCCGGTCAGACATTAAATCAAAAATCAAAAGTATGTCAAATTTTTTATTTATTTTTGTCTGCTTGATTTTTATGACGACATTGTCACAATTTTTGCTATCATGGCTATGACTACTATGTTGACGTGATGGTTAAGAAAGCATGTCGCGATAACCCACCATGCCCTATTGACTAGAACATTCATTCCGCAGTATCAGATGGGTCCGAGAGCAAGCACAAAGATTGACGGCAGCAAACTCATAACCTAAGGATGAAGCTGTGCTACTGACTTTGCAAGTGTTTCCCTTAAAAATCTGCATCTACAATGATATTAGCTTATCACAACAGAAAATGCATGTTAAAAAGGACCGAGACTTCGTAAGAATACACTTATGTCATTTGCTGAGTGATAAGATTATTGTTATTTCTAGAAGCACATAAGCTTCAGTTCTGTTGTGATGCACGGTGTTCGATATTTAATACTAATACGTAACTTTGATACATGAATCTGGTTACTGAAGATAGGTGACGGTGAGTAAGAAAGAAATTTCATTTGGCTAAATCGATTCGATTGTGTGTACTCATTTTTCAGCCAATCCATGTATGCTTATCACTTGGCCTACTTTGTCAAGTTCCTTGTGCAGTTTTGGAGTTTTATCTGAGAATTTTATCTGAACCTTGAGTTACGATGACTAAGGTGCATTTGTGCAGCTGTCACATGATAATTTTTCTGTGTACCGTATTACACATAAACCTTTTTAGGGTGTAACAGTAACTGATTACATAGATAAATAGTCCTGTTTAATCTCGTATCCTAGACTAATCTGTTGTGAAATTAGATTCAATCGAAACGGTAACAATCAAAATCTTGTACGAAACAGTTGCAAGTACTGTTATTGTGCAGATCACATGCACAAAGTACAGAGTAGGAAGTGAACCTTGTATGTACGAAGTTCTGCGTTGTATCTGTCTGTCTGTCTGAACCTTGTATTGTGGTGTTGTATGTGAAAAATGGATTAATATATGACTTAATTGTGTAATATGTCGATTTGACCAGGAAGTCGAATTCTCGAACAATGTATAGATTCATGATTACATTTATATATTCACACGTATATATATAAAATCTACACTAATAATTAGTCATTTGATTCAGTACTTAGTGATATTGATGAGAATGGCATTCACTTGTCAGACTTTTTACCTGTTTGAACAAGAATAGGTTTGCATGGGAGTGTACAGTATGGGGTTGCTGCAAGCTACTGAATTCTCATTAATCTATGAGATATCATCCAACGTTAAGTACCTAAGCAAGGATAGATCGAATGATTGGGTTGGAAATCGTGGTTACTCATCGTGGAGCGTAGGTCACCGACCAAGATTTTCCAACTAACTCTGTCCTGGAATCTTCTTTCCAATTGCTCCGAAGTACGATTCATTCTTTTTGATGTCTGCTTCCGATCCCTTGTGCAATACATTCTTTGGTCTGGTTTGGGTTCGCCTTGTGATTCAGTTTGGGGATTCCCGCATTGTATATTTTATCAACCCTCAACATTTTTTCTTCATTTCGTCTGCTGGAAGTTAGTGTGTTCTCTGCTACAGTAGGTTGTTATTGATGTTGTCCGGCCAACGTATTTAGAGAATCTTGAGTAAACAACTGTTTAGAAATCTCTTAATTAGGACAGCAACATCTCACACGCTGTGTCTAATGAGAATACACTTACAAAATATGAATGTCAATCTTTCATCATATAATATGGCTATAATTTGTTTTCTAACCAAAATAATTCTATGCTATGAAACCTCAAATTCTAGAGTCTTTAAAATATCTTATAATCAGTAAAAATATGTTCAGTTTAATGAACATATTGATTAGAAGCGAGATGTAATTGATTTTGAATTTCATGTCTTTTTTTTTAGTTGCTTTTCAGTGTTCAAGAAATACCATCTGAACGTTTTATCCTACCGGATAATTCATGTTCCACTGCATCTTCCCCTAGTAGTTTATCAAAAACACTGGATAGTATGACAATTACTGTAAAACCAAGAAGTCATAGCTTATTCTCCTGCTAGTAAGTTTTATTTATTCTGTTAGTGGTTTTTTTTTAAAAATTATAATATACTGTTTTTTTATTTGAATGCTTTAACCTTTTTTACCATTGAACAACAAGCAAAAAGCAAAAAATACTGAAGAAGCGTCAATTACAAATTTAGTTCATGTTCAGAAAGATAAATAATCATAGAATTATGCATGAATTTGAACGTCGAAGAATGTATGGAATGTTTCCCAAGATTAATAACGAAATATAGATGTTTCTCTAATCGGGACGATGACATCAAGTTCCATCCGGTTTTTGGAATTTTTCTTGGGAGTGTACACGGATTTAGTTGAGTTATTTTCAATATATTTCCCCTGGTTATTAACAACTCTTATGATAGATTACCAAATAGTTCGTTTGTTTTTGATTAATCCAGCTGTTGCTTAGGAAAATCACTGACCTGTTTTTATTATTATCATGATTAAAAAGAACTCATCGAATCCAAAGGGGGAACACATTAAATTTGTACATCGTTAGACATTAATTCTCAGTGTCAATAAATTTGTGTTATAAGTTTTTGTCATTTATACGTACTCAACTGTTTTATAGTAGAGTATTCAGTTGATTTATTGTTGTTACATTTTGTTATTCAATGTATATATATATATAAATCAGCAAGTGGGTTTCTCGAAATATCAATCGTGTCTGAAATTGATATTAATCATTATCATATCTCAGAATAAAACTCGTGAGAAATTAAAAATAGTATAATCGCCATTAGACTGTAGTTTAATTGTTGTTTAAAATGCTGACATTTTTATTTTCACTCTATGAATTCAATGTTACATTCATATTTATTTATTTTGATAGGATCTATTCGTTGTTGTGACTTGTTCTATGTGTATGTCCTGTTGTAAATTATGATAGTCTAAATCGATATACTTTTGTGTAAAGCCTGATATAATCTCTTTGTTTGTTCATGTCGTCATATAACATTTCAGTAGTCAAGTAAAACATGGTGAAAATTATGAAACTTTTGCTGTGAAATTAGTCGGTCATTTATTTTCAACAAGAAACATTCACCATTTCATCTTTTAAACTAATAGTCAAGTCTATTTTATTGAATACTACTGCTGGACCACATTGAACGCGGATATCTAATCTCATAAGATATTGTTCTTGATTCAGTCAGCGCTTTTTAGCGAGTTAGTTTTTTGCTGGATGTGGTTGCCAACCACAATCCCAACTCTCCTCCTTTATCCGGGCTTGGGACTCACAGTAGCCCCGGAGGGTCTGCAGACGGAGTTTGTTCTTGATTATAGGATGTAACATATAATTTCAATTTTATACATCATTCAGTTAGTCATTTATTGCCTAATCTTATCCAATAAACAGTGAAGCGATGATAAGCAACATAGAAGACAGTGAACAATAGTGTTATTTGTTATTACGACTACTACTACTACTACTACTACCACTACTACTATTATTATCATTAATATTGATTAAATTTAACAAGCAAGTTAATTATTACTCGCAATATGTCAATTAACTGAAAAGTTCTTACATTTTTTTTGTCATTTAAGATGTTTACTTAGTAGGAAAAAAAGTAACTCATAATTTGTTTAGATCAATTTTTCAAGTTAGTTTAAAATGACATTTAATATATTTACTTGATAATTTGTTATTAAACATTCCATCTATATATATATATATATATATATATATATATATATTTTTTTTTTTTCTTGAATAAAATGTAAACTTGTTGAAAAGTAATCAAAACTAAATGGTAAATTGAAATCGTTGATTATGAAAAAGGTTTCTTTGAAAACTGTTGCATTGTGTATTTGTACAGCATAGATTGATCTTAGATAATTGATTTATTACAAACTAGGATTAATCACTTGAGATTATATCTGGAATTTTAAAGGATTTCATGAGTCATATAACAGGTTTGCATTGTTCTTGTTGAATGTTTTAATCAGTGATTTCTTTTGTTAAACAATAGCCTGGTCAAAATGCTAAGCTATCATTTTTATAAATATAGATTTATTCTTGTTAATTTTCCTTTTAGATTTCTTTTTAATTCATTGGTTAGATACCTCTATTAAGTGTTTACAACATATTGCGAATTTAATTTTTATTGAACAACACAAAAAGTGCCATCTTTTTGTGTGAAACAAAAGAGGATCACTAAGTGTACTTGTGTTACGAATGCCCAACCACCGACTTCTTCGACAAGCGATATTTTGTGATGTAGGAGTAAGCTGGAAGAAAGCTTGAGGCAGTCATACCAAAACATGGCACAAATCCATGAAGTTACTGACAACTGGACTGAGTCATATTGGTAAACGTAGACTACCTAATCGAAGTCCGTCAGTCAGTCAGTTACAACGTAGAACTTCGTACGTAAGTACATCAGTTCATGTTGCCAAACCACGTTAGCACAGAGACGCAGTCGTCAATTCAAATCCCATAGTGGTAGAAATAGTAGAAATATTACTGGTAATGGAGAAGATTAGGATTTGAAGATATTATTCAAGAAGTATAATTCAGTGAGATATGTTTTGAAAGACAAAGGTAGAGGTGTTGACGAATTCAGAAGGTTAGATTTTTAGAGAACACAAAGAGTCGATGCACCTGCGCCATTGCAAACGATTTTTAGCCATGTCATTTAGGGTCTCTAACAATCGGTGACTTTCATCTCGCGGACCCCAACATGACTCAGTCCACTTGTCAGTGACTTCATGGATTCCTGCCATGTTTTGGTCTGGCGGCCCCTAACTTTCTTCCAGCCTAAACCCACACCACAAAACGTAACTCGTCGAGGCAGTCGGTGGTTCGGCATACGTAACACATGTCCAAACCACCTCAACTGATGAAGTTTCAATAATTCACCCATTGATCGTAGGCCGTAAGACAATAGTAACCGATGGTTAGAGACTTTGAATGACAGGCGAAAATCGCTTGCAATGGTGCACGTGCATCCATTCTTTGTCTTCTTTCATGACCTTATGAGCTCAGGACCTTTTCTTGTCTCTTTTTAAATTTATTTCACTGTATTATACTTCTTTCTCAAGGTCTTCGATCCCTAGTCTTTTTGATTTCCGCTAATACTTCTACTACCTCTACTACTATTGGATTTGAATTGACAATTCGATCTCTGTGTTCTGATGCGGTTCGCCAACTTAAACTGATGTACCTACGTACGAAGTTCTACGTTGTAGCTGACTGACTGACTGACTGACATTGATTGATGAAAAGAGATGCTACTCAAATAAGACTTCATAAGCATTTACGATTAAATTTGAATGTCTGTGAATCGCCATTTAAAAGCTTTCTATACATGTTTTTAGATGTTCACGAGTGCAAAATTTTGTAGTATAGAAATTTTTATTGTTATTTCTCATATCTTGTACTTGGAATTTTTATACCGTCACTAAACATATGATTGTTAATAAAAACACGTATTCTTCTCATTATTATTTCCATTATTATTACTATTACTATTATTATTGCAATAATATTACTAGCCATTTCGAAACATTGTCCAATTTTTTCCAGTGTACACGAAATTCCACCTCATACTATTTTTTTTTGCTCTTTTTATTACTCCATTTAGTGTCCCGAAAATTTCTACAAATGAAATGGAAGGCATTATTCGACATGTTGATAGCCTTATGAATCCACAGACAACGATAAAAAATAGTAAAGATACAACAATCACAACAACATCAACAACGGATACAATGGCACAAGCACCGACTACTGTTGACAATGAAAATGATATTGTTATGGATAGTCATCTAATTGAGTGTAAAAATCAATGTTTAAATCTTGTTCTGTCTGAATCAGGTATGTCTTATTTTGTGTATAATTTTTTTTTGCTATTTATATCCCTAAGTGACCTTTTTAACTAAAAGTAATCTCTTATAACCTATTCAATAATAATCATTCAGCTTCTTTTTTTTTGTGTTATGTTTGATTACCGAAATGGACTGTGTAGGTAGTTCAATTTCATTGTAATCACGAACCGACCTGGAAGCACCTGCGGGTTTTTTTGTATTCATACTGTAATTCTGGGAAGTGCGCATCATATGGAATTCAAGCGTGTCGGTTATGAATAAGGTCTATATTCAAGTCAACGGAAAATTGTTACACCCTGTTGTTGAAGCTAGACTTGTACAACCATAAATCCCGCCGCAACAATGATCTAAAGATTAGGAGATCGCACATGGACATCCAGTGCTTCTAGGTTTTCGATTGTTGTTTAACTTAGATCGGTTCATAATTTCAATGTAACTTATGATTATTGTTTTATCATCTCATAGTAATGTGAATTTAAATTCAGTGACATGAAATATATCAATGAACAATTTCAGTCAACTGACACTTCATTCTATACAAACACAAATTATGAATTTGTTCAAAAAGTTATATTGAACTGTGATCCTGCTATTATGATTGGAAAAGCAATCGAATTGAATCGCGTATGATTGGGTCGTCATGACAATAAAACAATTATTTCATGCCTCCCTTTCTAGTATGATTATCTATTGGTTCACCTGTATTTCCAGTAGGACCGGTGATCTTCTGAAAACCAATTGACAGAATGATCAATGAAAAACAATTAAAACCTTAATGCTTACTGGTCTTTGGGTGGGCTACTTCTAACCAATTATCTCAGCGTAAAATGTAGTTAGAAAGCAGATCAGTTCTCTGATGTATCCAGCTCAATCTTGACTAAAAACTTATACAATAAATTCACCTGTTGTTGTCTTACCATACTGCAAGATAATTTAATAAATACTATTTATCTATACCCTTTATCATAAATGATAGAAAAGCAGAGTAATAATGGAATAATTAATTTACTAATTAATCTGGAATAATAAGAAATATAACAACAATTTGTGAATGAAACAGACAGACAGACAGATACAACGCAGAACTTTGTACGTAAGTACATCAGTTCAGGTTGCCATACCACGTCAGTACAGAGACGTAACTGTCAGTTGAAATCCAAGAGTGATAGCGATAGTAGAATTATTAACAACAATGGAGAAGATTAGCGAGCGAAGATATGATTCGAAAAGTATAATTCAGTGAGATAAATTTAGAAGGAGAAAGGTAGAGATTATGAGGAATGCAGAAGCTTAGAATTTCATAGAACACAATGAGTGGATGCACCTGCGCCATTGCAAACGATTCTGAGCCATGTCGTTCAAGGTCTCTAACCATTGGTGACTATCGTCTCGCGGACCTCAACCAGATAGCCTACATCTACCAACATGACTCAGTGTGAATGAAACAAAACCCTTAGAAATACGTGAAAGTTAAACTGCAACAATTCAAGCATCTACTTAATTATACAATAAAAGAATAAAAGTATAAACAGTACTCCATATAATAAGCCTATGAATTTTACTTTCACACTATATTTGTCTCATTCTATTAACTACATATGGTGTTTTGACAACGCAAATATCTTTTAGTGACTGGCACTATGTATCATCATGTTTCATCCCCATTTATTCCTTGTTGATAGGATTGCTTGAGAATAACCATGTCTGTATCTGTTTCAGTTCTAATTCAATACTGTTTAGCCAAAATGTTTAATGTCATCACTTCATAAACAGCTTTTAAATTTCTTAACTTTCTTATATCACCGAATTGTAAACATTTCTGTCGGCAAAGACAGAAATTCTTTGTTTTATACAATAAGTTGTAAAATTTCATTTATACCACTAAGTAATATTTAAATATAGTTTTATTTTCAGTTCAATTGATTATTGTTAACACTATTATCATTCGTGAATAAGTGTTTTACTATTTCTGAATATTAAAAATAGTTTCATTCATATGAAACAAATCATATGATTATAATTATTGTACTTTTGTGTGTCTGTGTGTTACCTAAAATATTTTGCTACTATCTATATAGTTTGCACCTCAATTTCACATGATATTTTGATGCATTTGCTTATCAAAATGTATACACTATTGGAAATACTGGTAATGAACGAATATCCGTTAAATAAAGTTTGCAATTATATAATTATACAATTTAGTTAACATTTAAACTTTTTCTCATATTATCACGTTAGCGTATATGGAAAAGAATCATACAGTGTAGTTTTCGATCTGACAAAAACAACAGTCAAAATGAAATATTGTATTTCTTTATTAATTTTTGTCCAGTGGAATAAGCCCATAATCATTCAACATTCCATTGTATGTACCAATCCACATATTTGTGTGCGTGTGTGTGTGTGAACAAGCGTACATAAGGTGGAGTAATACAAAAATTCTTCCAGGCCTAGTGAATACATGTGTTTAAACAGCATCAATATCAGTTAGCATCACCAAATCAAATGGACTAGTGAATGCAGAGAGTAAAAAATTCATGTACCTCAGTAGTAAAAGCATACATATCATTGAAATAAACGAAATTATCACGTTTTCAATAAGAGTTGGCGTAGGTGCATTCATTCGTTGTGTTCTCTCAAATCCCAAACTTTATAATTCTTCGTCACTTTATCTTTTCAAGTCTATTTCACTAGATTCTACTTCTTGAATAATATCTTCTAATCCTAACCTCTCCGACTACTGCTAATACCTTTACTACCTCTACTACTATTGGATTTTAATTGACAATTATATCTCTGTGCTAATGTGGTATGGCAACATGAACTGATGTAAGTACCTACGAAGTTCTATGTTGCTATTGATTGATTGATTTCAATTAGAGTTATGGAGATTAGTGTTTTTACACTTTTGAAATCACCAATCAATCATTGATAGACCGCCATTAGAAACCTAGAAGCACTGGACAGCCGTTTCGTCATGGTATGGGTCTCATCAGCAGTGCTCATCCACGACTCCTGCATCTCGCAGAATTCGAACCCGGGACCTTTGGTCTTGCGCGCCTACGCCTAACCTCTAGAGTACCGGCTCGGCATGCGATGGTGTTAATATCTAACTCTGATTGTTCAAGGGATTTCGCGCGACCTCACCCATTTGTCTTTACTAGTTACTACCTACACCCGAACAGGTTGAACTCCATTGGTCACGTCTTCTCACTAAAACTCCGAGAACTTCCTCACGAAGCTAGTCACTAGTGAAAACACCATTGGACGCCGACCCAGTGGTCCAGAGGTTAGGTGTACGCGCGCAAGACCGGAGGTCCTGGGTTCGAATTCTGCGAGATGCAAGAGTCGGGGATGTGCACTGCTAATGAGTCCCATACCAGGATGAAACGGCTGTCCAGTGCTTCCAGGTTTCTAATGGTGGTCTAATAATGATTGATTGATGGTTTCAAATGTGTAAATTATCATGTGAAACTTAGTGTTTATATTTTATGTAACTCTTGCCCTTTAAAAAATTTCAATGTTCTTTATTATATGTTGAGAAATAGTTTCTTTTCTTAAATCCTCCAGCCTACCTAATAAATGTTAGTCTTTTCTTATGCCTTAAATGATTTTGACAACTTCTCATTCCTTTCTTTTAATATTATATCATCTCATATACATTACCACCCTTTTTTACTTGACGTTCATTTGTCTGCGTAGATTATGTGATCAGTTTGCTTGAAATGTGTTCTATGCAAATCATCATCTCATATTTCAAATGAACATTGTCTTTTCAATGTCAAATTTTCGCAATGTATTCTAAGCTGCTGATCAGGATTTCAAGTGCTCATTCATCCAAAAAAATCTGTCACAAAAGTGTAATAGATTTCAATTTTTAAAGGCAACATTAATGTTTTTTCAAGGCTTAGAAATACTTGGTTCATAAGACTAAATGTTTATGTAATGTAAATCAGATTATCACTAAGTTATTGAGTTTTTTTTTTTTTATTTATCTCTATCACTTTGAGATCTATTTGTATTACTTGAAGTTGAACGACAAAACTAATGCACAACATTCAAATTTTGTTTTTTTTGTAATATCAACTACTGAATGCCAAGAAGTATTATATAACTATTTTTTCACTTCTTCTTCTTCTTCTTCTTACTCATTTTGCCAGAAATCGAACTAACCATAGTTGTAGAGAGATGTAATGATAATTTTTACTCTTTTTTTTTCTTCTTCTTCTTCTTAGAATTTCTATCATTATTTTCGTACAATTAATTCCATCAACCGCATAGTCATTATCATTATAATGTTGTTTTTCTTTTTAAAATAGAGATTGTTGATTATAATCTGAAAATATTCAGTCTTTTGTGAGAACATCAATCTTATTTTCTCTTATTCAGATATATAATTTATAAGGAACCGAAGTTAAATTTTCACTTTATGTCAAACTTACGAGTGTATCATGCTTTATTGTTTAGTAGAAAATTGATGTCATATGAAGATCTGGTATATTTTGTGTCTTTATATACACCATATTTTATTCATCTCTGTCAAATACATATCTATAGATGGTTTATAGACAAGCTAAAGGCAGCCAAACCAAAACATGGTACAAATCCATGAAGTCACTGACAAGTGGACTGAACCATCTAGGTAGATGTAGGCTACTTGTTAAGGGTCCGCGAGACAATAGTAACCGATGATTAGAGACTGTGAATGACATGGCTCAAAATCATTTGCAGTGGCACAGATGCTTCCATTCTTTGTATCGTCTAAAATTCTAATCTTCTGAATTCCTCATGACCTATTGTTTATTCTTTCCAAATTTATTGCACTGGATTATATTTTTCAAATCATATCTTCGATTCCTAATATCTTCCATCACGGCTAATTCTTCTATTACCTCTAGTATAAAGGGAATCGAAATGAAAATTACATCTCTGTGCTAATATGGTATGGCAACCTTAACTGATGTACATATGTACGTAGATGACTGACTGATTCATTTGATCAGAATTGTCATCGATAGTTTCAATGATTAGACTACAAATTCACATCGCACTCCCACTATTTTAACTTTGGGAACTCGCACAGTATCGCTGTTGTTTGTCATTAAATTGTAACCCAGTGTTAGCGTTTCAGGGGTTCGAACACAAATGTTAACTTTTGGGTCATAGTTTTGAACTTATGCAAAACCACTTACCGATCTTGGGGTGGAATGCTTGTTCGAATAAAGCTAGGGATGCGACCGAACCAAGTTATGGGAATCAGTCTCTCAAGTCATTTACCGTTAAACTAGAATGTGTTAGTAGATGAAACTACTTGGTTAGAGTCTACGCCATAACCTCAGTTAGTCATCGAAGACGTTATATGGTATGGCTTAGTGTCGGTCAACTTGAGGCAGATGCATTTACTCTGTATTCTTCCTCTAGATTCTGAATTCTAGTATCCCTTTAAACATAACTTTTCATTCTATCTTCTAGGATCATATTTTCTAGCGTATTATATTTCTAATTATTATTGCTATTATAATTATTTCTACTCTTTTGCTATTCATCCAATCGATCTCATCTACTCGTATTGATCTGGCATGGTAAATCGGTCTAATGTGCATTTATGCCTAGTTGTACATTGATTATTATTGTTGTTGAACAACTGAATTTCAAACTTAACATGTATAATTTAGCCTCCTAGTACACAAATCTAAAGCTTTTTTTTGTTATTCCAGAATTTATTGCCGATGTTCTTTTTTTTTTAATGAATTTAACTGTTTTTTACTTTGTTCTATTTTGTCTTCTTTTCCAATACAAGGTTTAATCGATTCGATAACAAGTAGTGAAATTATGGAAACTTCATCTGAATACAATCCACAGGATCGATTGCATTCTTCGTCTACACGAGAATATTATCATTTAACATCAGAAGAAGATTTAGAAAGTAGTGGTGAAGAAGTTTTAAATGTTAATATTGACAATAAACCGACTGAGTTACAATTAAAAGAACATGAAACAACTATTGAACAACCTAGTGTCAGTTCATTATAATAGGAGAGACCAATGCTCAAGCTGAATACTACAGCTGTTACAACTACTATTTAATAGTAGTAGTAGTACTGTGAAAGAAATTCATATATATATATATATATATATATACATATATGATCAACAGAAAAAAATTAACAAATATCATCAACAAAACAATTTAACTAACTAATTTTTATTTTTATTTTTATACTCATTGTCTTTAATTGATCCTGGTGACAAACAGCTAACTTTCTTCTAAATTTCTCTACATTCATCCTAATTAAAAAAAAAAATTAGTTTATGATATATTTATAACTTTTAATTTGAATTTATCAATCAGTTAATGCCTAACGTGTGTGTGTGTGTCTGTACATAAGCTTATTGAAGATTTCCATTTGAAATTTTATCGAAACATTTCAGATTCTCTTCACTGCTATTTATTTTATTTGATAGAATTCTTTATTTCTCAAGTTTATTTATATTTATGAGAACAAAACAAAACGAAAAGAGAATACAGATTGTGCGATGATTTGATGAATTAAAACAAAAAACAAACAAATTGATTTTAATGTTTATTTTTCTTTTTCAAAAAAATATATTCTGAATTATTTTTTGTTGTTGTCATCTTACACAGAAAGAGGTACACTGCAATTGTTCAGTATCATTTCAGACATCGCCATCATCATCAGCATTACTCAAGCTTATCCATGTCCAATTCAATAGACTATTATTCTATTCAATACTACTGAATAATTTAAATGTTGTATGAAGTTTTCATTAAAAAAAAGATAATAATAAAGAGTATTCAAATGTCTTTCTATGCTAATTTCTTATTATTCATAATTTAACCAAAAAAAACCCGAAGTATTTTCAAACAACAACAAGTAACAGCCAATCATCTTTATATTAGCTTAAAGATGAATATTCTATATGGAAGTTATTATTATTATTATTATTTTGATTGTAAACAATTTAAAATTAGAGTAGTACTGTTTAGTAGTAGTTATTCTACATTGGTAATTGACATTTTAAACTGCAATAAAAAATTACACTCATTAAAACGAATCGAAAAATTAATCGTATTTATTCAATAATACCACTCACTTAGTGAAAGTTAAAAAATAATTGTTAAGAACTTTGGATCCTTATGTGTATGTCTCATTATTATTTAGAAAAAAAGTTATCTAATTTAATTTCATCAGCTAATGAATGAATAGTTAAAAAGCATATTGTTTCTATCGATCTAATTACTGAAGATTCTTTTTCTATTTTTTGTTGTATACAAACAGTGAACGATTGTAATGATTTCTTGAATACAAGTTGAACATGTTTGTATAGAGATAAAAGTAAGATTTACAGTGAGTTGCTACTTGTCCGAGTAAACAGCATATGCATGGACAATTTTCGTCTATGTATAAAGAGATTTCGTTCGGGTTTTGCTGAATAAATTAGCAACTAGAGAACAGTTGGTTATGAATTAATGAGCTTTTGAATATTTTCTTATTATCACCAAATAACGTCATTTTCAAAACTGCTGAAAACCGGTGAACACTGAATGTTTATGGTTTTTTAGTTTGAAATGTTTTAGCACAAATCAACCTCTTTAAAGTAACAATAACTTTCTCGTCCCTCAGTGAACATCATTCTTCAATACTGAAAATAGGAATCCAGAGATAGCTTTAAAGCATAAGATAATTGTGGTTCAATGTACGTCTAATAAAAGTCGGATATCCTGATTGTCCGGAGACCATGCGAATATCTCACGTTAGAGTCCTGAGTGACGAAACTGACATCATCTAACGACTCCATTATGTTTTGCAGCAGTATGTCGTATAAACCGTTATCTGTTTGTAAATAAGCAAGTTGTAAAGTGACTGCGAGAGAATAGTGTGTGTAACGAAACAAGATAGTAGTAAATATATTAAAGAATATTGTTTAAAATTAATAATACACAGGTATTATTTGGAAGTTACTTGTTAACCAATAAGTGCGAGGTGTCTGATTGGTCATTACATCCATAAATATAACGTGCGATAAGCATTCCCCAAAGGTAAAATAATAATTTTTGGCATTTTGCCAACGAAATTCAACGGATTTCCCCAAATTTGGTGGAAATTTTGGCTTTTACCAAAACGTTTTGTGGACTTCCCTGAAATAATGGGGAAAGACCGTAGACCAAGTGATTTTGGGCGCTTTTAATCACATTTCTTTTAAATTTTTTACCGGAGCTTTCCTTAGATTGACGAAATTTTCTATAAAGTTGGGAGGTTGAGATCCAATGTAATATGTTAATTCTAATCCTCAGAATTCCTCATCAATTTTATCTTTCTCTCTTTAAGTTTATTTCACTGGATTAAACTTGAATAATTTCTTCAAACCCTAACCTTCTCTGTTATCGCTAATACTCCTACCACATCAATCGCAAGGGGAATTGAACTGACGATTGCATCTCTTTACTAATGTTCTATGGCAACGTGAATTATTGATGTACGTACATACGAAGTTCTACGTTATAACTGACTGATTGAATATGTTAAATATTATCCAGTAGTGAAAACGTGTGATCTAGAAATGTATATAACACTTATATTAGTAATACATCTTTATGGTAGCTGATGCGATAACGACAAAAGGTTGTTTGAACAACTTTATATTTTGAAAACACCAACCACTGTGTTATACAAGTAGAGTATGCTAGAAAGTTCTAGGCTGAACTTAAACAATAGTTTATCGTCAATGACCAATTATGGTACAAATTAAATTAGATTCTGCATATTGTAAGTAATGAAATATTTGTTTTATTCTAATCATCACCACATATTTTTTAAAAGATAAAAGCAGAGGAGCGAGATTACTGAATTAGTTGCCAAAAAGTTTAAAGCAGCAAGATTTATACATGGCAGGTTACTAAACGTGAGTTAGACCACAAAGCATCTGGCTACAATTGGTTAAATTCATTAAAAATAGACGAAATCAGGTTAAAATGTTGTTTCTGTTTTGAAAAAAAAAACGGTTTGTGTAAAACAACAACAAAAGTTTGAAATAAAATTATCAGCTACTGTATGAAAATAGGAATAAGTCAACTCCCCGTATAAGATGCAAAAATAATGAAATGAAGATAGTATGGATTGTTTTTCATCATGAGCCGAGATTAAAACAATAGTGGGTGAGTGAGTTCAGTACGTTTCTTTTGTACACATTTTTTTGGGAGTCGCTGTATACAACAAACGGTTTAGCAATGTTCAACACATTTTGTTTGTCAAACAAACGTATTCACTGTTGATTAATTTGGAAAACAATTTGAGTAGTCATTTTGCTAATCAATGATCAATTTGGTTCAGTGGAATATGAAATGATAAAATGTCATTGAACGCAATAGATTGTAGTCAAATTGTTTTGTAAACTGAGTGAAGTAGTGAATATGAACTTCCACCACGCTTTCTTCTGAATGAACTTTTCAGTAGTGATTCCTTTGGACATTCGAATTTCGTTTGCACTTACGTGGTTGTTTCTGAATTCAATACTGGTTCATACGTGATTAATGGAATACGAATTTGATACTCCTGGATATAACCAATTGGTATACTGGAATACAATTACTCTAGATTATCATATTTCCTTTATTTGTTCAAAATTTCGATTTTATCAATGAGCATTAATCATTTGTATAATCAAAGAAAATTTATTGATCGACTAAATATAATATTGATTACCGTGAATGAAGAATAAAATTCGTTCACTTGTTTTTAAAATTCATCTGCATGAACCAACTTTACATACTCTGAACTAATTAAAAAAAAAGACTTATCAATCAATATTAACATAAACATGAACTATCTATTATGACTAAATATGAGTGGAATAAATTTGATTGGATAAATTAGGAGGGGAGGAAGTTTATTGATTTTCGGAACATATTTTTTGAACTATATATCTGCATTGATAGAGAACACAAAACTTGCAATCACTGCTGAGCATCACTAGCTAGCTAATACACTCATCCGTAGCATAAAAATGCAATCATGACATTTTCATAATTTCAATCAAATTTAATTTATACAAATCATACTTACAACAAAAAAATGTCACATAACACTACAACTACAGATTACAGTTATTTAGTGGGCGGTTTTCGTGCATATATTTGTCCAATTATTGCCATAGTCGGTGTAATTGGAAATAGTTTTATTATATTAATTTTTATCAAAGATAAACCACGATCAAGATTTTCAATTTATTCAATCGCTTTAGCTATTGCCAATATTATTACATTAATTATGAATACATTTATTGATGACTTTCTTGGACGTGGTCTATATTACGCAACAAATCATCAATTCTATTTTAAATTAGATACAACTTCAGAGTTTTGGTGTAAAAGTGTTGAATATATATCGAATACTATGTATTTCACTTCATCTTATTTAATTGTTATCTTTTCCATTGATCGTCTATTGACTATTCATAAACCTATTAAATTTTATTCTATAAATCATAAACGTTGCGCTTTGATTGCATGCATTATTATATATTTACTAGGAATAATTAGTAATTCACCATTGTTATTTGTACAAACTTTAATGATTGATACATCAAGTCGGACAAATTTCACTTGTCGAATGATATCTGAACATCCTATAGCAAAGTTTACGATCACATTTGAAACAATCATCACATTCACAATACCATTTTTTCTTGTGCTATTTTTAAATCTATTCATTTGTATTCATTTATGGAAATTGAAAATTAATAGAGAAGCTTTACTACCGGCAGACTCTTCTCGGAATCGTATGGAAATGGGACGAGTTTCCGGACATTTAGCTTTGAGTACTGCATTCTTATTGCTATATCTACCGATGGTGTGTTTTGTATTAACACGATTGAGTCAAACTTTATTACATGTGGATAGGCATAAGCCATATGCAATGTCTATTATTGATTTGTCCAGACTTTTTTCATCTGTTAAAGATATAACTTATGCAGTAAACTTCTTTCTGTATCTGATATTCTTGAAAAATTTTAGACAACGATTTCTACGTGTAATTTCTACAATGTATTGTAAAAAGATGTCACCAAGAACACAAAGAACAGTGCAAAGACCAGAAAACAGAAGAGTACGTACATTTTAAAGCATCTTTTGGTTAATTGATAAATTCATATTTGTATGATTTATTTTTTCAGAATTTGAAGGTTAATAAACGAGAAATATAGCTTGTAAACAGGTTTATCTAATATGGATTTTCTTGTCAAAAACACTTTTCTCCATTTAATATTTATGTTTATTAACCGGACTGTTTAGAGCAAAGTTATGGATAAAAATTTCACTCAATCTCTCTGTCTACTAACCGATCATTTCAGTAGTTACATTATTTGACTCAAATCACGAAAATCCCCACTCGAACTTATACAGACATGGTTCATTGAGCATCCGTTTATTTGAGTTCTAAAAATCACGAGACAAAAACTAGCTTCGAGTGAATTTTTAGTAAGTTAGAGCTCTTTGGATAGGATTAAGATATGAAAAGCCTTTGAAAAGAGTTTTATCTATTTTAGTCTCTAAATTCTTAAACATCATATAATGTTAAAAAAATTCAGCGGAGGAATAATAAAAGCAGACGAGAAGTTTTGCGACGGCATGATACATAACATTTACAGCAGTCCAGAGAGGTAATAGATCTGGATACGCTGCATAATTTCATTCTGAATAAGCTGATTTACGCACTGCGAGAAACCTGTAGAATAAGATTGCATATCCAACAACGGCGATTTTCTCGTTTGATAACACTACACCGAAGGAATGTATACTCCTTAAAATCAAAAATAAATACTTTTAAGAATTATGTATATCATTTCATAAATTAGCTATTTTGATGAAAACTACTTCAATAAAAGTATTGATGTTTATTTTGATCAACTACAACAAGCAAACAGGACGAAACGCGCATCTTGTATCCCTCTGCTGGCCCTCATCCACTGACGTTTATGATGTGTTGGGGGACATTAGATCCCCAGAACTCACTTAAAATGGTCCTAATTTTGGATTTTTTATGTTTTTGCGCATAAGTTGCTAAGTTGACCTTGAGATTAGATTTCCCACTCGGAAAATCCTTGACTGTCATTGGTTGATGGATTATTTTAGTAAGCTATTTTTTGGCTCTCCCAAGTACGTTTCTATCATATGTAAATAAGCTCGATTGGTGTGCTTGTCCACCTCGTATTTTCTGGGTGCTTGTAGAATACACTTTCTACGTCATATCAAGACATCATGATATGGTTAGCAGGCCGGGGACAACGGATTATAATAGCCTATCGTGTCACTGCATCATTTGTCTTCACTCTGTTTACCGAATAAGGTGAACTCGTGATAGTTAAAGCATATCAACTGACGAGCATATCATAATGCTTGTGAGTTAATGACATTATCGAAACAACCAGCACAGGATGCGCATATGTCAAAGTGACCGATCAAAAACATCAGTGAGATGTTTGTCATGTTGATAACTGTAGGACACTACTATATTTAGTGCGTATCCAGTCTTTTCATCAAATAGCAATTTATATTACGGTAAATTGTTCCTTGAATATCTGAGTAGAGATTTTCTTGCACTAAACAAATGATTATTTATTTTGAACTATGTATACATTGCTATATTCTAAAATATGTTATAATCACATAAGAATGAACTTCCAATAATCAGGTATTCGTGTTTTGTAGGATTTAGTACAACATACATTTTATGAATGTTGTACAGTAGAAAAATACCTTTCTTCCGACGATCTGTTAGAACTCTTGTGAAATGAACGAAATTAACTAAGAAAGTAACGCATCGATCTATTCACTCAAAATTATAATTATACAACACTACAAACAGCTGAATTTAAATCATTTATACTATTTGATCATTTGTTAATCGTAAAAGAGTATGGATATTTTCTACCAAATTTTATGATGTCAGTTATGTAAACGTTGAATCACCTTTTTTTTGGACGTCACGATCTGCCCTAAATATGATTTGTTCTAATATACACTTGAAATATGACGAAACAGTTTACACGCAGTTTTAGTTCTTGATCAAGCATCAACTTTGTTTATTAAATTAATGATGATCATTGCTTCTAGTATATGTGGCCAGCAGTGAAATCCAGAATGTGCGTTTTATCCTGTTTAGGTGAATGTACCTGCCTACTGATGTTAATGTTCACAAACAAACTCGGATTCAGTGACCCTCGTTTCGAATGCTAATGTGGGTATCCACTTAGTTCAGATAGACACTAATTTATTCAACGAATATGGATGGATTAGTACGGTTTATATTATATTGTTATTAATATTGTGGACTGCAAATGATAAGTCTCTGTTGCTACATGTGAGTCCTGAAATGTAAGCATATCTAGCTGAAAAGTACCAAATAAGGCAGAAAGTGCATTCTTGATTTTACTGCTAACCATATACTAAAGCTTGTAACTAAACAATGGATCGAGGTAATCTGCTCATGCTATACAAATGGTAACAGAAAATGATCAATTGTAGTACGGACTGCCATCAACTATAAATCACAAACCCTATTAATCATGGAAACCTTGGTAACATAATTTTCTGATAACTGACTAGAACTGCGTTTCAATATATGGCAATTTAATACAGTTTTCTAACACTGAGTACCTAATAAGCTTCAATAAATCACAGTAATTTCAATAGTTCATGAGTTTAAATGTGTAGCTATTCTGTAACAATATTTCATTTAATAGCTTCTATGGCATGGCCGATCGAATTAAATAAATCTGACGAACCTCATTTCTATTCATTCAGATATTAACTAGGACAGTTGAAATAATACCCTATCGATGTAATGGTCACGTGGAAAAGAGAACAATAATCAACTTTCTTTCGTAAACATACCTATAAGTTGAAGAGACAGTTTGATCAGATGGTCTGACTATGGAAAGACAACACAGTTGCAAGTATTTCACTCACGTTTAACAAGTCCACGTCGATATTTACAAAAGATAGGGCGAGGAAGATGAAGTGAGGTGTAGTTCCATCAATTTTACTGATATAAATCCACTAGATATTAGACCACGTATCAATGTAAATCTACTTTACATTATGATAACCGATTCTTTAGGATCAAGCAATACTGACCGAGTTAGTTTTGCACAGTTAAGAATTATCTATCAAATGTTCTACTAAGTGCAATCTCCTTGAATATTATCGATGATGAGGGGAAATTCAATTTTCGTTTGTTTATCTTACTAAGACTGAGAAAATTCACTTTCTAAGATATAAACATCAAAACAAAAATCATATGTTTCGTGTTACATTCAGAGTAAAATCATAAGATAATTCTGGGGTTATCTAGTGAGCAATACAACATTCTTAAGTCATATTTAACATTTGATAATGTTACTTTTGTTTAGACCCGTGATAAAAATTGGACATGTGAAATGTGTCGAAAAATGTAACTGATTATCTAAGAGATCGATTTTATTCAGGAGAAATATAATGAAACATCTAAACACAGAAAGTTGTAGAATAATACATATCTCATATAATTTATGTGATAGTCTGTACGTGTACAAGACCAGTTTGTACAAAAAATGGTTGTCTTTTTAATGCATCAAATGTAGACAGTTTCGATTGAGCATTATTGAAGAAGTTGGATAATTTACAAGTACCTTTAGAATGTTCACGTTTACGTGCAAGTTTTTTAGCTTGAATCACTTCTTCATGTGTTTCATCGTCTTCCCTATTGTGATATTTTTTTTTTAAAAAAAGTAATCAAAAAAATTAGCATTTTTAATTTTAATGAAGTAGTTAAGAAAATCTTATTTCTAAAAATCTTGATACTTTAGGAATAAGCTGAAAAATCTAAATGAACAGTCATGTATAAGATTTATTATCCTTGTTATTGGAAAAAAGAGCGATACAATGTGATAATGGTTATCTTTGAAAAGCTTGATCTCTGCCTAGAATTTCATCGCACACTATATATATATATATATATATATATATATATATATATATCCGATAATCATGATCGTTTTGGTCGGAGATGTTGAATATCATGCTTTGGAATTATTGTTCATCGTTTTATTCGTCCTATGGTTTCAATACTTAAGTTCATGAACTAACTCTTTACTTCCAAACCCTGATCACTGACATTGAGTCATTCTGATAATTCGTTGACTATTTCTCAAATCTTTCTTCATTCTCCCAGGTAATTCTAACTCATAGTGATGATGTAGCTTGAGAGACACTGAGGCTGGTACACATGTTGATCATGACTAAAAGAGAATTGCATCTCCAAGAAAGACTACCCCACCGGGATGCTCATAAGTATTTCTTATTTTTTTTAAAAACTATCATCGTACAAAATGTAGTTCATTTACAACACTACTGTATCAAAGATGTAATGATCTTAGATTTGAAACTGGGTCATTACACATCTTCAATATTTCAGATATTTAACCAAAGTTTATATGGTCAACATTCTACACCTGGAAATTAGACAGTTCATGCAGTTACAGGTCATTTAGAAGTGAGTGAGTTAACAATGATTTTTGTTTCAAGTTAGAACAAAATTACACGTGATGAAATTCATGTATGTGAGAATTTGTAGTTGAGAAAAAAAAACTAAATATTCTTCTCGAAATTTATTTCCATAATCTAAAATGACAAACCAGTTCAAATTCAACAAATGAGTAGAGTTGTACAAATTAAACCAATTACACAACTAATCCGGTTGAGATGAGGAGACTATAATTTATGGACGATCTTTGAGCGACACTAAAGAGTGTCCTTCACAAACTTCAACTACTTTATCGGGCTCAGAATAAAGTTATAAATTAGTGTCTGAGGATTCAAGATTAAACGTTACAGTAATAAATTAAGCTTAAGTAATTGGAGTTAAAGTTTTCATTATGAACTAACATTAACCTAGAATAGCAAAATTCTATTTAATCATACAGATGAATTAGCTTCGTTAGCTTAAATCTGATTGATTCATCCATAAATTATAGTCCAACAAGAGATGAACTAATTTTAATATTAAAACCAAGTTATTGAGTGTTATTGTCTGCATATATTACAAGTAGACACATGTTTTAGCTGCAGTTAACTTCAGTGAAGTCAACTACTAGTCATAAATTGATCATAGATATGATATTTAATCCCTTTTAGAATTTTCAAAACATTTGAAACCATTTTAAGATAGTACAGTGCGGAAATTCATGGAGACTTACCATTTAACAGATACACCATGCTGATCTAATAGAGAAGATGCGGTTGACCAACTAGATCGTACAAGAGATGGGAAACCAAAAACTGGGTCCATACATGCACGTAGATAACTTTTGGTAACAGGATCTGAATAAAGAATTTGAAAAAAATACAGTAAACTTAATAAAATCTAAACACTGTACTCATATTGTAGGCTGTTCTAAAGATTTTTTTCGTTTATCTTGTGTTCTATGTGTGCAAATTCCTCGTTGAGGACGTTCCCATTTCTCAATGATAGTATACATCATAGTGAAATATTAATTATAGTCACCTCGTAAAAGTTTATAAGTACATGGATTCTTTGTTGGCAGGTGTAATATGAACTATATTTAACATAACGTTCATGAAGCCATTAGTCTCAATAATTATGTAAGACAAAGGTAAACGGGAAATAGGGGATTAGACACTGTTGTGACCATAAATCCAATTAGGTGTGATTTTCAATTTAATTTTATTAACTGCCGGGTTATACTGTAGATACTAAGGGTTTTAAATCCGATATTAGTTACCCAGTTCCACTGATACAAGCACCATCACGTACGGACATTTCAGACCTCGGATCACGGATTGGTATCCTTCGATTTTGTTCCAGGTATATTCGTAACTTTACACAAATCTTGTCTCCACTCATCGACTAGTCTTTTAGTAAAGACCTCGTATGGGAACAACGATACGAGAATATACTAAGGAACATTTTAGTTTTTACATAATGAGGATTTCCTCGGACCTTATTTACCGACTGAAAAATCTATCGTCACTACAGATGCATTTCATTTGGGTTTAGGTGCGACTTTAGAGAGAAATAGGAAACCTGTAATTTTCTTATTCTAAGACGACTAGGTAGGAGTGAACAGGAATATTCTTAAACCCAAAAGGAAGCTTCAGCTGCAGTATGTGTATTAAAAATACTGTATAAATGCTTGCTAGGTGTAAAATTTCATATTGTCACTGATCACCAGGCGTTAAAGTTTTTATTTACCACCCAACTAGTCACTTCATCGATCATTTGTTGCCATGATCCACACATGTATTTTAGAATTCTGTGCTTGTGACTGCATCATCGAGCGCAGAATGGTTACTAACGAAAGTGATAATATGTTGAT